ACTAGAATGTAAGAATGTTTCACGCTTTATGTGTCAGCCAGGTTACGCTGAAGTAATAAATGCACGAAGTACAAGGGGCAAATGCATATTCCTGAACACGCCATGGGCATGTGACAGGGGGCTGCAGCCAGTTCTGGTTCTCTGGTGATGCTCCTAGAATTGTGCAATTGTAGAGTTGGAAGGGACCCCATGGGTCATCTAGTCCAACCCCCTGCAATGCAGGAAGCTCAGCTAAAGAATCCCTGACAGATGGCCATCCAACCTCTGTTTAAGAAACCTCTAATCACATGAAACATTTGATGCTTGCTAGGGGAAACAATGGAGGGTGCTAGTGCAAACTGGCTGCCACATAATATGTGACTTGGCTCTCAGGTGATGAAATGGACAAATTGTATGCAGTTTCACAGTGATTTTCTAGGGAAATGTGTTACTCACAAAATAATTTTCCATTTAATAGTAAAGGTGCAATTCTAAGGTGTCGGGGAAGCAGGAGCTTTCTCCATAACAGATCTAACCCATGATGATCTTCTTCTGTTTTTAGCATACATCACTGATTACATCAAATGTGGAGATCTTTATACATGGTTGTACAGAATATACAGAATTACACAGTTATTTCCCAATAAATATTTCTCACTTATGAGTTCCTTTTTTATCAACAAATATTTATAATCAACATGTGGGAGTTTCCCCACTTTCCTTCTAATAATCATTCTACCAACAAATATGGCTTTCTCAATAGTGTAATTGCATTGCACCACTGAACTTAGGAGAATAAAAGACATTAGAAAGATTGAACAGCTGGGAAGGGAAAGGCATCAACAGTAGCACACAGGTTAGCCCATATGAAGCAGTCTGCTCTCCAGACACATCTTGCCTTGTAAGTTAGCTGTAGGGACAACTGATCTGAAAGGTCAACTCCATCAGTCACCTTGTGTCCCTCAACTGATTCCAGCTGCTCACTGTAAGAGCTGCTATTTAACTTCAGCAATTGGCACCTCAGTTCCCCCTCCTCCCTGTTCCTGTTCCCTTGTGTGTTGTGTCTTTTCAGTCGCAAGCCTGCAGGAGGGACTGTCTTGTTTCAACTGATGGTTTGTAAGCTCCTCTGGGAGCCTTTTCAGGCTGAAGAGCGGAATACAAAAGTTCTAAATAAATCTACAATTTTTTTTTAAAGTGCTTATTCAGGCGTTTGAGATTCCTAGTCCTCAGACATTTAGCAGCTGTCCTGATTGGAAGAAGAAATGAGATGAACATCCTCTGCTGATGCCAGTTAATTATGAGATAACAGGAGCGGTACTTTGGCTTCTATAGGAACGTGATTATAGGAAGCTACCCGGACCCCGAAATCATCTTCTGAGCCCTTCTTCATATGCCTCCTCTTTGAGAGGTCCAGAAGGTGGCAACACGAGAACGGGCCTTTTCTGCAGTGGCTCCCTGTCTGTGGAATGCTCTCCCCAGGGAAGTTTGTCTGGCACCTTCATTAAACACCTTTAGGCACCAGGCAAAAACGTTCCTCTTTAACCAGGCCTTTGGTTGATTTGATTGACATCCTATGCCCTTTTAAAATGTGGGGTTTTCTTTGGGGGGGATTATTGGGTTGTTATTTTGATTATATATTGTGTGGATTTATATTTTGTTTTTGTTCTGTGACCCTGAGACCTCCGGGTATAGGGCGGTATATAAATTCAATAAATAATAATAACTATGTACATGCGTATTTGTGTGTGTATGCATCTTCAATTCCATTCCTAGAAAAGCCAGAACACTATTCTTGTTGTCTCATAATTAGCTGGCAAGAACACAGAACATTCATATATGCAACATAAAAATATTCATGATTGGATAATGGATGGATGTTTAAAAAAGGGTGCACGTGGGAGGATATGAGACGGATGATTGACTGTTCTGATGTTTGCTCTCAGCCACATTGGAAGTCGTTCTAGTGGTGGGATACAATGGGGTAAGAACTGCCTTAAACAATTAAGAGTATCTTACAGGGAAAAGATATCTGCATCCCCTAAGCTAACCTGCTGCCCTTAGCAGAGGGCAGTGGTTCCTAACTGCTTCCCCCCAATATCAATATGAAGACCTGTGAATAAAAAACCCCCAGCAAAATGCGGAGGGCCCCATTTCCCACTCCAGTTTTCCCAGGCTTTCACATCTCTGCCAATGAAGCGCTTGGAAATTGCTGAGTGTCTTGGTGGACCACTTAATGGCTTTTCTGCCTGTTGTAGCAATTGCAATATGCTAGATACTGCATGGTTTTTAATTCTATTTTTACAGACATGCTGTGCACCACCTGACTAAAGCTCATGGACCACAGTTTTGGGAAACTCCCAGAGAAGTGGAAGATGCTGTCCTGTTGCCAGTGTTGAAGAAAGAGCTAAGTGCCTGTTTGGCTGACTTCTGCATGTAGAATTGGGGGGACACCATCAGGCAAAGTGCCTTGGGCCAGTTCTGGAGTCATGCCCCAGCAGCTGAGTTAAGAGGGAGACCATATCTCAGATGCTTGTAATGGTCCCTGCTGACGGCTTTTAGAAAAGGCAAGAAAATGCCTTGCTGTTCTCACTGTCCAAAGCAAAAGGAGACCCAACAGCTGCAATGGGCAGGCACAGTTGGAAAGCAGGGAAAAGGCTGTGTCATGATTTGGCAGTCACTCCCTGACTAATGAAAGGTTTCTCGTTGTTTCAAATGAGCCTTCAAGAGCAGCTGGCCACATTGGCAGGGAGGCACATTCATTGGCTCCATTCATCAGAGCCATGGATTCAGGTTCAAGTGTGGGCCTGACGCTGTGTTTTCTATTCATAGGCTTCTCCACAGACCTGTTCCGCCTCTCTAAGAGTGTCTGCTGCTCTCAAGCTTGGATCTATATTGGGACAGTATCCCCTTGTGTAAAATGTAAGGGCCCTGGAAAATAAGGTTGTCATGAGTTATTTCAAGGAGAATGGCAGGTTTGTTACGAGCACATTGTCTTGGTCTGTAGTTGATTAATGACCACTTAAGCCAACCAGAGAGCTCCTTGCCTTGTCTTCTCAAAGGTCAAAGAAGTAGGCACCAGTATGGATAGATAAGGTTCCTCAGACACTCTTAGAAACAAACTAGGCATATGCCTATGTTTACCAAATAGATGCTCTCTGATTTGGCTGTACAGTGGAGGTGTGGAGCTGTCCACTTTTATCACTAGATGGAACAGGTGATGGACAGGAATGGCTACCGACCTTCTGACCACCCTACTCTGCTGTTCTTCTCTATCCCCCAGCACAGCTCCAACAGCAGAAGTCAAGCTGGGAAAGCACTAACTAGGCTTTGGGAAGTAGGTGGGGAGGGGCTGGGGGTTGTATAACATTGCTGAGGACCACCAAAAACAGGCCTTGAGGGCTGCATGCAGTCCTCAGGCCCCACATTGGACCACTCTGCCCTAGAGATTCCTCTTCCAATCCCAGCAACTACTGTGCTACGCTTGCTTTTCACCTTCCCAATCTCTTTTCTGAAAACTGGGCAGAACTGTAATGGAATAATGGGCGAGAGGCCTGGAACCAGAACCTTTGCCCATTTTGTACAAATCTTGAAAGCTGTAAGTGTGAATGGATTTGTAAGCCAGTGTAAAGAGAGTAATCTATTTTTATTTTTTTATTTTTTAAAAAAGAAGATATTACTTTTACAAGGACACCATCTATTTCCAGGTTCTCTTATGCACGCCATTGAGTTCCCTTATGAACAGACATTAGGTCTGTCATGTTGCTGAGCTGACATGCGTTGTAATAGCTCTTTAGACTTGGGAGGCCCTACCATCCAACCGTTGGGTGAAGTTACAAGAAAGATGTTTTAATGTGTGGTCTTTCCGATTGGAATACAAATTTGTTAAGTTTTCTTTGCCATTTTGGACATATGAGCTGGTGGGATACAAACTGGCAATGTTTTAAATAATAATAATAATAATAATAATAATAATAATAATAATAATAAATTATTTTGGACCTCAACCCCATTTCTGAAGTCACTATTCAACAGCAACCCTGTTTCCACCATCACCCTCATGTTCATGCCTCCCCCCTCCTTTTGTTTAACCCCCACTGCACATAAAGCACCCATGGAAACTGCTTGGATCTTCCATCTCCCACATGCTGCAACTACTAAGCACCCCTTTCACCTTCTACCAAATTATAAAGCCACCTTCTTATCCAGTTCTTCAGACCCTTTCATGTCCCTACTGTTACCTTCACCACCATTTCTGTGCCTCCTACTCTCTCCTTATTGCAGCCCCTCTTTGCACCCCCATTTGCACCTTCTCTACCTTCCCCCTCAACTTTCTCCTTACTTTTCTCAACTCTCCTTTGCACGCAGACCATCCCAGTTTCCATGCCTCCTCCTGTCTTGCATTCCGCGGCCCCCTCTGTGTACACACCTCATGCTGATACATGTTGCTCTATGTTTAAGATGAATAGAACCTTAAGAGCAGGCCTCTCAGATAGTGAAGGTCAAGTTCAGTTGATGCCTGTTGTATATATGAGTGTTTGCTTATTAATAAAACACCTCTTCTAAATTTACTGCATTGAATCTGGAATTTCATGTTGAGCATAATACATAGTACTAGGAGTAACTAGGAGTAACATAGTACTAGAAGGGGACGACAGAGGACGAGATGGTTGGACAGTGTTCTCGAAGCTACAAACATGAGTCTGACCAAACTGCGGGAGACAGTGGAAGACAGAAGTGCCTGGCGTGCTCTGGTCCAGGGGGTCACGAAGAGTCGGACACGACTAAACGACTAAACAACAAAGGAGTAACACACATTGTGTGAAAGGACTATGCATAGCTGTCAACTTTTCCCTTTTCTTGCAAGGAATCCTATTCGGAATAAGGGAATTTCCCTTAAAAAAAGGGAAATGTTGACAGCTATGGGACTATGGGACATTTGAGGCTTCCACATCATAGAATCATAGACTTGGAAGGGGCCACGAGGGTCATCTAGACCAACCCCCTGCAATGCAGGAAACTTCTGCCCAACATGGGGCTCGAACCCACAACCTTGAGATTAAGAATCTCATGTTCTGCTGACTGAGCTATCATGAGGCAGCTGTGGAATGGAAGAGGCAGACATTTAAAACAGCCATTTCCCTTTTCTTTTCAGTGTTCTTCTATTCTTGCTGTCCTCAAACAGTGGTAGAAATCTAAGTAAATTGGGGGTGGAGGGGCACAGGTGTTTTTTTAAATCACCCCCCCTCACTTTTATCAAGAAGAAACATGTGAGTACAACACAGAAGCTAACATCAAAAAGGTAGCACAGCAGAGCTTTTCCAAATTCCCTTCTCACTGTACCTAACACTGTTTTAAGCTGCCGTTTCCCTCTCAAAGTCATCCCCTGCTCACTCTACTCAAACCTTTGCCGTTGTTTAAAATCACCACTTTCCCTCTCTCAGTTCCATCCCTGTTTTATTCAAAGCTCTGCTGTTTCTTAAAACTGCCATTTCCCTCTCAAGTTACTCTCCCCCTGCTTTACTGAAATGTCTGCCTTTGTTTAAAACAACCATTTTCTCCCTCTCAATGTTCTTCCTTTCTCACTACCACATTATGGCCGCTACTGCTTTGCAACCTGCCTTCACTTCATGCAAATCCAGGATTGTGATGAGGCACTACAAATTCCCCAGTAGGGGCTGTTGAAGCCCAACTTTAGACACCCTATTCCAAGTACAGTTACCCAAACTTGCAGAACTCATGCTTGGATGAATCGCAAGTCATTTATTTTCTCCCAGTCTTGTACTGTCCCCAATGACACTTACATTGCTCCCACCAAATCCCTACGCTCTTTACATTATTGCTCTGGGGTACTCGACAAGCTCTGGTTGACAACTCCAGAGCTTTGAGCCACTGGTTTTTGAGCCCAAACCAGTAAGATATCAGAGAGAACCCTGAGAGCACATAGTGATGTTTCTGTTTTTACTTAAGCTGTGAGACCTTCTAAATGAGATCTGAATAGTGATGCTGGGGCTTATCCTTTTCCCTTCTACACAGTTTCCCCAATCCAAGTTTTCCCTCTCCAAAGCTACTTTCATTTGAAATTGAACTGATGGGGGTTTGGTCTTAGACCCTCCAGGTTTCGTGGTTTTACCATTTGTTTCTGTCCTGTAGTTTCAAATCCTTTGTCCTCCTTCTCCTCCCCTCTCCCCTGGCTACTGCTACAAAACTATTAGGGTGTAACTAAACATTGCCATCAAACTACCAGTGATATTTTGAGGTTCTCTCCACCAAATGATGCAAAATATTTATTTAGAAACAACCTTTTAAAAGGCCCGAATCAAGAGGCATGCTAAATGGTAGAAAACAGCTCCATCAGCATTAATGGAGGATCAGGTTAAGCTCTGATTAATTATTTGCATTTTCAATTTGTGCCTAATGAATGAGTCAATTGAACCAATTAATCAATTACAGTAAAATCTGCAACCTATTGAAGTCAGTGGGCCTGATCTGCCTCCTGTGTAAACCCCATTTGAAACTAATGGGCTTCGCAAATGGAAGGATGACTCAGACTTTGCAATGGTCCTAATTTTTAAAATGGAACTTTGAAGCGATCGGAGCTTAAATGTAATTTATTTTGGCTTCCGTCCTACTTTGCTTTTCATTCTTGGATGTGTTGGAAGAGCTTTTGTTAAGATTTGCGTGGAGCATTTCTTCTTGTTATTATTATTGTGCTCGTTTGATGGTTTGCGCATCAATGCAGTCACTTGGGGAAAAAAACAAGAAAGGAGATGCGGAAATTGTGAAAAACTATAAAGTAGCTTGAGACAGCCCGCTGTCCGTCGCGGCTCTAAAGGATTCTCTTTCCTTCTTGCTTATCTTCCAGGGTGGCTATACTGCTTATTGTTAATGCTGTCCATTGTGTACTGTTAAAAATAGCCCCCAAACAGTCTCAAGTGTTGCCTGAGATTTAGCTGCAGTCAAGGGTGGGGAAGGGGAAGACGAAGACATACTGAACTCTCTCACTGGTTAAAACCAAACTTTTTGTTGTAAACTTGGGCTGATAAAACTAGTGCAGGGGTCCCAGTTAAGGATAAGACAAGCCATCCCTCTGTATTAGCCTCCCCCAGTCCTTTGAATTACTTGAGCTGGGAAGATATTAAATGTGCAGAATTAAGCAGAAGCAAATGGATGGAAGCGGAATGATGATGGTGCTTGTTTCAGTTTTCATCTTCTCCTTGTACCTGCCTCCTTCCCTCACAGGGGATAAAGCTGACAGGATTATCTTGGCATTTAATCACAGATCCGTGTTCCTTTGACTGGCAGGCTAGCCCAGTCAGCAAATCAGACACAGTTTAAGAAGAAAGGAGAGCAAAATACGTCTGTTCCCACGATAAAGATCCTCCGGACACAATTTCACTCACCATGCTTCTAAGAGAGCAGAGATGTGGTGCCATTTAAAAGGGAGCTGGGATTATTTTACTGTGGTTCAACCAACCAAAACAAGGAGAGTGGTTGTCCTCTTTTTCCACCTCTGCTAAGGTTTCCTGGCACTGGGTTAGGAATCCATGACTGGAGCAGAATGGCAAGATGAGGAACATAATGTGGTACAGCTCTTTCTGGGGCCTGTCCTACTCGCACTGCAAGTAGGGGAGCAGGTATCTGAATGATTCCCGTATTGCGAAACAGACCCAACTCCCTGCACCTAGAAAACTAGAATGGAAACAGAGAAGGCTTGGTTAGGGCTTTTCTGCTTTGTGTTGTCCTTGGGCAGGGAGGTGTCCCCCTCCCTCCGCATAATATGAGGAGCATTCATCAATGTGGTTCTGAAACCTGCACTGTGAAGTGGTACAGGCTAGAAGGGACTGTACCACGTGGTATTTTGGAACAGGTGGTTCAGCCCCTTACAGTTACACAGTTCCAGCCACGTGTGTTAATGTGAATGCAAGGGGTGCGTGTATCAGTGTGTAAAGAGGAATCCAAAAATGGTTATTCTGGGCAGCAGGGCAGAAGGAAAAGAGGTTGCACTTCTGTGTCTTTTTCCAGTCTGATTCCCCCTTCTGTTGGAAACAATGGGAGGGAAATGCAAGGGAGAATTCAGCCAGCCTTAAAGCATCCTGGATTACTTAAACTAAAAGGCTAAAACTAGCCTAGCTAAGCTTCCTTTTAAAGTTGCAAACGGATGGCACTCTGCTGTGAGGAAGGAAGGATAATATCTAATAAATATATCCTCCTAGCATCTATACACATCCCTACAAAAATAACTATACATAATGTAGTGTCAGGAACTGTGTGTAAATGTTTAGTAACACTCTACAACCACAGCACTTACACTAAAAGATAACCCCTTTCTCCAAAAGGCCAGAGGAAGATAGAAGCCAAACCATTTTAGCTAAATTTATGTTTAACTGTTCAGTTCTTTACATATATTATTTGTTTACATATAAGTTGTTTTGGGATTTGGATCCTACTTCTTTGCAGTGCTGTTTCATTGCTTTTTTTTATAATATGGAACAGTATGAAAGCATATTCTTACTTGCCTTGATTTTTTTGGGGGGGAGAGGTATGTTAGAAATGTAAACGTAGCCAAATAAATGAAAATGAAAATGTGTTATAGCTGCTGAGGCTTCCTGAGTTATATGCTTGGCAGGCATTCTCCGAAACCTAAGTGGCTTTCAAAGTTTATGAATTAAACCTAAGGAGATAGGAAATGGTGGCTACCGTCCATTTTGCAGGGTTTGTTCCAAGCCAAAAGAGTCTTATGACATCAGTTGAAAGAAGGGCATGGAATCCACCTCAGTGACACAGTGGAACATTGTTATAAACAACATCACATGCTGCTGATCAGCAAGAAACACTTAGGTCTGTCTTTCCTAAGTGGCTGAGGTACTGAGAAACAGCATGCAGCAGTTTTATCACAACGAACTCTCTACTATCAAGCAGATTGGAGAAGCAGGAATACCTTAGAGGGGTCTCTTCCACCCAAAAAGAAGACAGGGCAGCTAAGCATGTCTCTGTTCTCACAGTATTCTGTGGGAGGGATTCAGGCACAAACCAGGAAATACAGATTTGTGTAATTAAAGTGGATTAAAGCACTTTAGTGGACCAAATGCACTTTAAAAAAGAAGAATTTTTGCAGGTTGGAAAGTGATGGGAAAATGCATTGAAAAGCATGAAATGAACCCATCATTAATGAGAAGATGTATAACAACCCTGTAAGCGAACCGAGTTCAATGCAGGATGAATGCTCATTGTCACATAACCTCCATGTAAAGAAATCAGAATGGATGCTCAGTAAAGTCTGGATATATAATCAAAACTCCGCGGAAGCTCCATGTGAGCCAGTGTAGGGTTAGTGGCTAGAGTGTCGGACTAGGACCTGGGAAACCAAAATAGCATCTGCTCAGATAGCTCAAACAGTAGAGCACAAGCCTCTTAATTTCAGGGTTGTGTGTTCAAGCCCTACACTGGACAAAGGTTTCCTGCATTGCTGGGGGTTGGACTAGATGGCCCTTGTGGTCCCTTCCAACTCAATGATACTATGATGCTATGAAATCCGTACTCACAGCCATGAAACTCTCTGGGTGATCATGGACCAGTCAGTGCATCTCAGCCTAACCTACCTCACAGGGATGTTGCGGGATTAAATGAGGAAAGGAAGAAACACACACACCATCTTGAGCCCCTTGGAGAAAAATGCCATAAATAATATATTAAATAAATATGCCTTGTGGAAGCAAATAAATAGCACTGAAGTTCCAAAACAGAGAACAGAACATACAGCCGGCACTAACAAGCTACAATTGCATAGCTTAACAAAAAAAAGTTAAAGTGGCAATGTGTACTGACCAGACTGGTCAATTTTATATTCCAGGCCACTCATTTATTCTGGATGTGAGTATGGGAAGTCTGTTCTTCATTCATTTCAATGTAGGAAGCAAATCCATATATGCATTCTGGAGAACCTTATTTCAGTTTAAAGGTAAAGGTAAAGGGACCCCTGACCGTTAGGTCCAGTCGTGGACGACTCTGGGGTTGCGGCGCTCATCTTGCTCTATAGGCCGAGGGAGCCGGCGTACAGCTTCCGGGTCATGTGGCCAGCATGACTAAGCCACTTCTGGCGAACCAGAGCAGCACACGGAAACGCCGTTTACCTTCCCGCCAGTATTTATCTACTTGCACTTTGACGTGCTTTTGAACTGCTAGGTTGGCAGGAGCAGAGACCGAGCAACGGGAGCTCACCCCGTCGCGCGGATTCAAACTGCCGACCTTCTGATTGGCAAGCCCTAGGCTCTGTGGTTTAACCCACAGCACCACCCACGTCCCCTATTTCAGTTTAGAGCTGGCTAATTTATAGAAGCTCCCCCTACATTAAGCTTTAATCCCATTAAAATTAAATCGATGAGGTTTAAGTTAGCCATAATGACTAATTTGCCCCCTTGATTTCAGTGGGACCTAAACACAACTACTTTTTCTAGATTAAAAACTGGAGGAAACTGGCAGCATGTTAATCTTTATTTAGGGCTGTCTAGTTAACACTGACCAAATTGAGGACCCTCATCTCTTGTGTTATATATACAGACTAATTATTTAGGAATGAAGGATCTTACTTAGCAGCCAACATTTAGATTAATGGAATCTTTCACCCCTGTAATTAATGCTTGCCCCAAACCAAAGGAATTAAGCTTTCGTTTCCCGTGTTATTTTTCAAATGTATTAAGGGCGATGCCAAAAGATTTCTGATCACTCTGACTGCCTTTCTGTCTACAGCGGGATTTGTATTCAAACAGGGGCATTGTTTTAGCAATATCAGAGTATTAAGCCCTAATCCCTTTATGAAGGGATGCTATCTTGCACCTTCTTTTTTTGCTGAGCAGAGAGCATAATAATACATCCAGTAAATTATTGTTAGGGCACACTACAGCCTTCTTAGCAGATACATGCCCCTCTATTATTTTTAACAGTCAGAGTTTTGCACCGCCATGGAACACTGAACTAAATTATCTTTTCAATTACAAATGGCAACTTTGAGTAATAGCAGCATTAGCTTGGCTGGCATTCCTTGGGAAAAGAGAAGCAGTGTGTGGGGTGGGGTGGGGGTTAGTGGGGATCCAATGCACAAGCCCCCCCGCCCCGTGTTTTCAGCCAACAGTGACGGACAATAAAAGCTTTTGTGGTGGCAGATCTCCTTTAGGGAGACTGCTGAAGACCAAGGGCTTGAAACAAAGTGCTTGGGGTTGTTTTAATTTCTCCAAAGGTGCCTGCACCCACCAGGGGGATGTGCCCTTTGGAAAACCCTGGGCCGTGAGGAGGCTGGGTTAAGTGTAGGCCAAGACAGCGCCAATGTGGACTGTACTAGGGCCATCGCTATCCAGGGCAGTGCCACGTCCAAGGCGAACCCAGCATTGCAACGTTGATAAAAGCCGCCTTGGCCGCAGGGGCTGGCCTGGAAGGAAAGAAGGGGCCTGCAAAGGACCATAGCTCAGCGATAGGTCTTGAGTTCAAACCGAGGCTCCTTCTGCAGATCTCAGGTAGAGAAGGCCTTTCTGCAGAAGACCCCAGAGTGGGGAGGGGCAACCATTTTTCCGGCAAGGAAAAGCTTCCATGGGGCTCCCCGACTGTGGAACGCTCTCCCCAGAGAGGCTTGCCTGGCACCATCATTACATGTCCTTAGGCGGCAGGCAAAAACATTCCCCTTTACCCAGGCCTACGGATATTAAATAATCTGTCGCCTGTAAAACTTTGGGAGAGAGGACTGTTATTATGATGATTATTTTACTTTTAGGCTGTCTGTCGGTATGCTTATTATTACATTTTTATTATTATAATTATTTTGATGTTTTTAAATGTCTTTCTAATTTTGTACACCGCCCTGGAATCTTTTGATAAAGGGCAGTATATAAATTGAATAAACAACAACAACAGCCTGTTGGACAGAAATATGGTGATGTGTAAGGCTGGAGCCAAAAGTGGTTGGGGCAGAGTATTTTATTTTTGCCACTCCTTTCTCTGTCTCTCTGGCACTCCTTCTGTTTTTACCAGTCAGTCTGTTACCCACATTTTTTCTTACCTGCCAAAGTTGCCCACCTGTGCCCCTCAGGCTTTATGCCAAATGGCCTGATGCAATACAATGCAGTTCCTTTTATTCTCTCTGAGGTTTTGGGTGATGAAATTTGGGACACCTTCCATACAAAGAAAGTCTAAAACATTTGGGCTTGGGGAGGGCCTTTTCCCTTATGGGGAATATAATTTAAAGTGGGTGGGAACGTGATAGAGGTGTATAACTTCTGAAAGGCATGAATTTGATGTGGATACGAATCAGTATCTCACTCCTTAGAATTTGGGGTCACCCAGTGAAGCTGATTTGGACACGCAAGAGAAGATCTTCTGTTCAGGACGGAACGTCTTCCTTCACAATGCTTCAACAGCTTATGGAATCACTGCCACAAAATGGGATTTGGAGGTCGATAACTTAGATGGCCCTTTTTTAAAAAAAAGAGAGAGAGAGAAAAGGGTTGGGCAATTTTGCAGTATCTTTTTCATTAGAACCTCCTTCTTGAGGAGTAGTATCAAAGGCTGAGGACAAGTAACAGAGATAGGTGATGGCTCTCCTGCTTGCAAGTTTCACAGAGACACCAGGCCATAGCTGTCAAGCGTCCCTTATTTGGTGGGACAGTCCCTTATCCCAGCGCCATGTCCTGCTGCTGTCCCTTATTGATGATGTCCCTTAAATAAGCTACTGAAGGTAATGGGGCCCTTTCTATGTCCAGCTGTCCTTTGTCAACAACAAATTGTTGCTTTTTTGTGTGTTGAATATATGCTATATGGTAATTTATGGACCTAATAGGTATCTAAAGCCATTTGCACGCAACAAAATATGTATTTTATCAAAGTAATTGTTGATCCCTTATTTTGGCTGCTGATCCCTTTTTTCGAGGCTGCTGGTCCCTTATTTTCAAATCAGCTATGCACCAGGCAAGGCTAAACAGACCCTACATCTGCCCCAGAAAAGCAGCTCTTGCATTCTTACATTGGAAATTCTCTATTTGGAACAAGCTGTTCCAAGAAGGTAGCTTTGCTCTCTGGACTCAGGCTTAGAGATGAACTGATCATAGTTACATCCAAGGCCTGCCACTTCTGACAATCTGCGAGGTTTGTTTGTCTCTTCATTTAAGCCCATCCATGGCATTCCTTGCTGCACACGTCGGCGCCTCAGTATTTAAAAATAGAAATAACAATAACACTTGCAGGCATTCTCTCTCTCTCTCTCTCTCTCTCTCTCTTATTTTCTTCCAGCCTTGACTGCAGCCGAAAGAGGCAGATTAGTTTATAGAAAGCACCCATAGCCAAGATAGGGTGAAGATGTGTACCTAATGGGATCACTGAAGAAATAAGTACAGAAAAGGGAGCAAAGGAAGAATCTTCCACTCCCTGGAAGCTGCTGTGGCCTCACCAATTTTATAGACCAGAACCGGGAGAAAGGTGAAGAATGTCATTTGAGATCTACTAGTAGAAATCTGGGTGACTTTCAGTAGATTGGCCAAGGTTTCTGACTCCCAATTGTTTAGCAAGAGCAACAACGAAGCCCCCTCCTTCCTAAATTATGCTGCAGAAATGAATAAAGCTTAAGGCAGTGCTTTTCCCCCTAAAAAAATGTTTTGGGTTACTCTCAAGAAAATCACCATTTTATAGTTCAAATCAGGAAAAATAAATACAGTAAATGGATAAAAGTACAAAGATTCACAAAACGTTAAGGGGTATGCATCCTATCCCCCCCCCAAAGCACTGGCTATGGGTAGATTTTTGTGTAGAAGGCCTGTGAACTTCTGTTCAGCTCTGGCACTCGAAACAAATTTCTGGGTCACATTCACACCATATATTTGAAGCTCTCCTATTCCACTTTAATGGCCATGGCTTCCCCCCAAAGAATCATGGGAACTGTGGTTTGTTAAGGGTGCCGAGAGTTGCTAGGAGACATTTTGTATGGCAAAATCTGCTGAGGCAGCCTCTGGAACATCCCCCATTTGAACAGGTGGTGGAATTTTCTGCAGCTGGTCAAGGGGAGACCTCCTTACAGGGACTGGTCCATAAGCCAGTATAAATTTGTGGTGTATTCATGCCCTGTATGTATTTTCTGTTTGGCATTATTGGAGCAGGGTGGAAGGAAGAGTGCGGCTGATCATCATTCATTTTGTTCAATGTATAGTGGTATCTCAGATTACAAATGCTTCAGGTTACAGACTCCGCTAACCTGGAAATAGTACCTCGGGTTAAGAACTTTGCTTCAGGATGAGAACAGAAATCATATGGAGGCAGCAGGAGGCCCCATTAGCTAAAGTGGTACCTCAGGTTAAGAACAGTTTCAGATAAAGAACGGACCTCCAGAACGAATTAAGTTCTTAACCAGAGATACCACTGTAGTTAAAATGGTAAAGGGTAGCTTTTATCCACTGAAGGCAAAACAGGGAAATCTACAGAGATGCTGAGACTACTGAAAACAACCCCACTATCTTGGCTTCTCCTCATGCTCAAAAATATCATTGTTTATTTCACCAAAGAGCTAGTGCAAAATCAAGGGTCATTAAGGGGGAAACCCAGCGAAGAGAATCCTATTTGCTGTGCGTCAGAGATGCATATTTTAGAGGTTTGCAATATCTTTGCAAATGGTAATTCACTCTAGGATGATCTTCAAATAAAGCAAAAAAATTTTTGCAGCTTGTTTGGCTGAGAGGGTAGCAGGGTTCCAGCTGATTTATTAATGGCTTCAGAGAAAGAACAATTCCTTTTAAAAGGGAGAATAATACTGCTTTTCAAATGTATACGTGTGAATTAATCTGCACAGCCTCCTGGACTACATAAGCAGGGGGAAACAGCTCAAACAAGCTAAATAAATGAATCTTAGGGAATTATGGCCAACAGTGAAGGTTGCCATAACTTTTCTTTGGTTTGCAAATGCCCTCTGCTGTTCATTGCCTCTTTGCCACCAAAGCTGATTTCTGAGACACACTCCAAAACTCCAATGTAGTTTTGCTGCTCTTTTAAAAACTATTTCATTTCTCTTTTAAGTAAGGCAAAGGATGAATATATAAAATGGAGAAATGTACATGTGATACATAAGCAGTAGTCTGAAGTGAACCTTGGAACTATATGCTGCCCCCTCCCTTTTACGCAAGTGGGTGGGTGGGAGATTCAGAGCACCCACTCCTGGTTTAGAAGAACTCAAAGTTTGTTGTTTTGGCAGAACTCAGTACATGGTGGTTTTGTTCAAACCACTGATTGTTAACAAACCAGGTTACACCAAACCAAATTCTCGTATGATATACTGGCTTGGGTTTGAGCAAACCATTGTTTGGACTAAACAACAAACTACAGCTTCTTCTAAACTAGGAATGAAATTCTCAGATCTCCTCCCATTGTGCATACTATGTAGTCCTAAGGTTCATCATGACATCTCTTTTTTCATAACTATCATAGAATCATGGAGTTGGAAGGGATGAGAGTCATCTAGTCATGTAGTCCTCCAATGCAGGAATCTATCCCGCTGTCCTCGAGAAACCATGGTTTAGTGTTACACCCTTTTGTGAGGCAAGAGAAGCCCACCTTTCACTGCAGAACCTGACAGGGCTCATATGAATCAGTATGAAGGAATGATGATCAGGGTTGGGAATCTTTTAGTGTTTTCAGCTCATCTTGGCTGCTCGTGCTGAACACCACACAATGGATTTAGAGCTGGTGGTAGCCCTTGCTTCAGTTTTGTGGCCACATTCATGCTTATGCCATCTTGTGTGCTGCCACAGTGCTTAGGAACCATAAGCCCATTTCATTCATTTGGGAGCCACAATGAAGCTTCCTTCAGTGGACAGGAGGAGTTTTGTACTGGGTGCAAAACTACAGAGCAGGGACAGTCAGTGTGGTGCAGTCTAGATAGTGTGGGACTACAACTCCCATCGTCCCTGGTTGCAGCAGCTGATGGGAGTTGGGAGTCCAGCAACATTTGTAGGGCAGCACATTGGCTACTCCTAGCATAGAGACCATGGCTACCTCCCCCCCCAAAAAAAACATCCCAAGGGAATTACATTTCCCTCTAAAGCTCTCTGGTTTTGGCATGCAGTGTCCATTTCCAATTCCCTTTTAAAATTACATTTTGGCTGACTGCCGTGCACATTACATAATCAAACTGCAAAGTCTTTTAACCCTGATAATAAAAACAGCAACAGCAGCAGCAGCAGCAGCAGCAGCAGCCCCTCTCTGCTATAACTTGCCCTGCCCTTTCAGACTACTGCCGTGGGCAGCAGTTATTTTGCATCACTAAGCTCAGTTAGCTGATGGAACAAAGAACCTCTTATGTTTGTGATAATTTTTAAAGTAAATTGCATCTATTTTAAATCCTGACAGGAGGGGGAGGGAGCCAGATAACAGGTGTTTGTGTGAAAGATTACTGCCTAATTTGTAAGGTTGTCACATTCAGACACTTTGAAGCAGATATTTCATGGATGGAATTGTGGGGGGGAAAGTTTACTGGTGTGGTTACTTTTCCACATGATCTGCACGCTCCATCTGCATCCTTAAAATCAAATATTGCAGATGAGATGTGGGATCTGGCTAGGGTGAAATAATTAACACTAACAGCTCAACCAGGCCTTTGCCAATCTCAGTTTCCCATCTGTAAAATGGGAATACCAGTGACTTCATAAAGTCACCACAAAGTCAAGGCTAGATGTACGAAGTGATTTGGTATGATCCAGGCAGCAGATTTTGGAGTATCATTACAGCACAGCAAACTATTATTATATTTTTACTGCCAGGTGGACTCTCTCTCTCTCTTCTCCCTCTTCTGAGGCATCAAATGTTGTGTGTTAGCCCAGCATGAGATGCATTACATGGTCGCAAAGCACCACTGACGTTTTAAAACAAAGATGCATAAATGATAGACAAATCATTGCTATTCTTCTTGCTGAGACTGAATTAAGTATTATGAGTTGTATCCAATGCTGTCTGTGTGGAAGTGGAACAGACGGTGATGACGTGAATACCTTCCTTCCCCCCCCCTTCCTCCATGGTCCCTTGGGCACCTTTAAAATCTGCTCCAGAGGGCTGGGGAAACCTCTGGAGATCTTTGGGGTGCCTGCAAGAGGGAAGTTCAATTCTGCAAGTGGAATTCTCAGTCGGGCAGCAGATGATGTGATGTTACAGGAGAGGCACACCTGACTATCTCATAGCTACACCAGTGGCCCCCATTTCCCAGTCCAGGAATCCTAGAATGCTAGAGTTGGAAGGGACACCTAGTCCAAGGGTCATCTAGTCCAACTCCCTTGCAATGCAGGAATATTGACTAAAGCATCTGTGACAAATGGCCATCCAACTTCTGCTTAAAAACCTCCAAGGAAGGGGAAGGAGAGTCTTCTGAGGGAGCCTGTTCCGCTGTCACAGAACTCAGTGCTTTTTCTACTTGGCAGCACAGGTGCTGCAGGTTTGCCTCCACAACATCTAAAGTTTGGTGATGGCAAGATTCCCTTTTAACAGGCAAATGCCAGACTGTTAAAGCTTAGGAGATTTCCAGGAATGGCTGCAATGGAAGAACCTGTTCAAGTGGTGATTAATCACACGTGAAGCTTCCTTCCACGGACAGCCATTTCCTGCCTGCTTTGAAAAGGCTTATCCCAGGGGGAAGCAAATGGCCGTTTCAGACAAGCAAACCATGGAGGTGAGAAATGCAGTAATCCCACTGGAGGAAATGGGGATGTGTGAATCCATCATTACATAAGCCCCTTGGATGTTGGCACCAAAGGTATCTGCTGGTTTCTGAGCCATGAGCTGAACAGTGTCCACTTTTTTTCATTTTAAAAAACCTTTATACTCTGTAGCTTGGACAGCTACAAAGTAAAAAAAAAAGAAAAAGAAAAGAAAATTAAAATTATTCCACGTTTTATTCCCAATGTGCCAGTGGACACTGTCCACGTCTGTTGTATGCCCTACTTTGGGACAAGAACACTGTATAGGGTTCAACACATCGCTTGCACGAGTGTGCAATTATTAAGTAGTGTTTTAGCCCCAATAAGTGGCCTCAGATGGGAATGGCCCATTGGCATCAACATCCAGTGTAATGGAACATCAGGTTTCAATCATAAGGAGGATGGAGAGGCATATCCTATAAGGTGCCAGAGCGATGTTGGTCTAGAGGCAGGACTTCCAGCAGTCAGGCGCTGGAGCCTTAGTCCCTCTGCCCCCAGGGTTTGGGTTCTACTTCAATTTCAGCAGATGGAGCTCTGTGGCTCAAAGGCACCACCGAGGCTCAACCACCAGCCTGCCTGATAATTGCCAGCGGACGCCAAGGGCCAGTCCATTCCCGCCAGGCGCTAGAAAGCTCCAGCTTTGGGGGTGTGACTCTCTGAGTGAGCAACTTGTCTTTGGGATGTGTGAGGATGTTGCCTCAGCACCAGCGCCTGGTTTTGCCTTGTATCTTCTGACTTCAGCTCTGCTTGTGGCCTTAACAGTTGTAGTGTGTGTGTGTGTGTGTGTGTGTGTGTGTTAGTGGGTACTGAATAGAACAAGTGTGTGTGAATTGTGGGGAAATGGACAACAATACAGCTATTTCTCTGATCATGTTTTGTACCTGCCTGGGGGGGAAGAACATGGATACTGTCTTTCTGAATGGATATCTTGCATCTAAAACTCAGGCTTTGCAGGAGCCCACTAAGGACTTAAGACCATGGAAGGAACATATCAAATAACAATAAACACACACACACACACACAAACACATGAATGAGAGGTGTCAATGGAAGAAGAAATGAGACGCACAGGGAAAATGCAGCAGTACTAATGTTCAAATCAGAACCAATTATAAATTTTATTTTTTTTCTGTGCCTCAGTGTACCATTGATCACAATCAGTGTACTCACTGCCTCTCCATTACTGTGCACAATACACGCAAATAAAAATGAAGGAAAACAAACAAACAAGATGAAATGAAATAATTTTACACAAACACAGCCATAATAATATTAATTATTATTATTATTATAATCCCTGAACAACCCCAATCGTTGCTTGATTTTCTCCCCTCCCCCACCCACCCCAACAAACAAATCAAATGAAACCAAACAGGAAAAAGAAATCCTCAAAAGTGAAGAAAAAATTTTTACGGGGTGGGGAGGGAAATATTATTCACTCCATTTTAAAAAGAAAAATTCACAACAGGACAACTCAAGCATTTCACAGACTGGGCAAAAGCCTAGGCTAACCTCTGTCCCTTTTACCATGTGATGCGGATGGAAAGTTCATTCACAAACTTTAGCTGGCCCAGAAGAAGCTACTAAGGATTTGACCAGCAGTGGTTTATTTCCGCAATCACAACGAATGAAGGATAGGCGCAGGGAAGTGTTTTGTGTGCACAGGGCTTCTCCTTCATTTCAACGGACAACAAAATGTGCATGTAAAGCTTGCCATTCTCCCCCCTCCCACTTAAAATGAACAGGGAACTCTTGAGCATGGCTCTGGGCTGTTCCACACCTCTCATTCATTACATTGGCAAAAATACCATGGACCTGAATGAATCTGGAGGCTGTAGTCTAGTAAGAAATCTGCTAATACAAAGAGAGAACCCACCTCCCCCAGCAACATCCTCCATTCAGTCATTATAGGGTTAATAATGCAATTAGAATTTCCTCTGACGTTTAACAAATGATCCTATAGCAGTTGGTGTTCTGGTCCAGCTAAGGTGCGTGGACACAGTTTCCTGTTGTTTTACAAGATGGAGGGGTTCTATTGCTATCTGCCCCCTCCAGCTTCTTAGAATGGATACACCCAACCATTTTGCTCCTGGCATGTGATTATATTTTTTTGTGTGGGGGTGGGGAATCACTCCATGTGTCACAGTGTGAGAGAAGAGCAGTTGTTTGGGTCAATCTATAGAGGAAATAATGTGGCTCTAAGGACGCTCCCTGATACTGCCATTAGATGTACTAACGGAAGAAAGACTAGGGCTTGGGTTTTGGGGCATGGCTTGCAAATTCCACCACCTTCCTTTTGTCCCCAAGCAACACCACTCAAATCATGAGGCCAATCACACACTGCAGAGCCACAGCTGTTACGCTTTGCACATAAGGTCCCAGTTGCAGCCTCTGGCATGTCTGATGCAAGACCCCAGAGAAACACTTCCACTGGGAGTAGACAGAACTGAGCTAGATGGACCAACAACCTCACTCCTGAGCATGGATCACTGTTTTAGGAGATCAAAAGTGTGAATGGATTTGCCTTCCCTCCAGTTGGCAGCTGCTCGCCACCCTGAAAACCACCCTCCTAGCTCTCTCCGGAAGGCACACCGACCACATGCTCATCCAACTGAGATGCAGTATTGCACTTAAGTAAGTGTTTGCACGGGTCTTCTTTTTAATTCCAGAAGTGCACACCCACTAGCTTTAATGTGGCCAGGGAAGGCGCACACGCTGTGTGCACTTGTCTGCCAAAAAGATTGACCGTGTTTCTGTTCCCCTGTAAATAGACTTTGCTTAAGAGGAAGGAAGCATTGGTGATGAGCTCCTGCACATCTCCACCAAGTGGACCTTGTTGTTCTATTAGGGTGGGAGAGCGGATTTATTTTAGCAGGCTCTGTCTTCCTAATCTCTGCTTTTCCTGCTGTGTCAATTCAGATGCTTCCTTGAACAGCTCCCCTTGTCCTGCTTGCTTGAGCAGCTCTCCTTACTCAGCCCTGGGTACCCATTTTCGTCTCCACTCAAGTAGTTCCAAGCTGCTACAGTCAGAATTCTCTCTCCTCACCACTCCTGCATTTTCTCCATCTACAGAGCAAGCAACAGTGGCCCATGACTGCTGAGCAGCCCCCTTCATTTCTATTTTTGGATCTCCTGATGTGTAGACCTGATCCTTTCCTACAATCACCACAGGGTTTTGGTTCCATTGAAGGGTCCTTCCATGCTACCCTGGTGGTATCTTAAGACTGGCTGACTTCCCTTGTTCTGATCCTTTTCTAAATGGCTTGTTCCTTCCATGAGCACCAGAGCTTGGAGACAGGGTGGGGATCTGATAAATGAGAAAGGTGTTGGGGAAGAAAGGTGGATGGGGAGAGATGGAAAAAACAAACAACCCAGCAACAAAGCAAGCATCCTCTGTACCTGAGAGCTGGATGATGGCATTTCCAAAGCAAAAGCTGTTTCAGTACCTCTCTGTGCAATTGTACAAGGACTGAGTCTATAGCTCACAATGACTAACTAATAAATAGCAGGAGTCCAACTTCTAGCTCCCAGGGACAAAATGCATCCACTGCTGGACAGTGCAAGATTTGCCACTTTTCCTAGCTAGGACAATGAAGATTGGTGGGTAGTGGAATGTTTAACATCCACTGGAGGGGACTAAATCTGACTGTGTCTGCAAGGTGCCCTTCATGAAGACTGGACCAGGGTACAGGTTTTCAAAGTGCTGAAGCCAAAGGTGCCAAAGGGTTGGCACATCAGGTTCTTAAAGACAGAAACAAACACAGCATAAATATATTGGGGAGTGGAAACTGACACTTGAAGAAAAGCTCAAGGGTATTCTGCTTATTTAGGGCTTGATATGGCTACTCATACTTAGCGTGAGCAATGCTAAGACCCACTTAGTTCATACAGACTAGATGCAAAGCAGGTTCTACACATCTGTAACTCAGTGGTAGAGCCTATGCTTTGTATGCCGAAAGTCCCAGGTTTGACCCATGGACTCTTGAGTTAAAAATGGTAGGTAGCTGGAAGATGCCTCTGCCAGTCAGAGTGGACAGTACTGTGCTAGATGGGCCATTGGCCTGACTCAGTATAAGCAGGTTCCTATGTTCAAGTTCATCCTAAGCTTGGCTGGCAGGTAAGATCCCTTTCTAGAATGGCCTAAGACTCTGCGCAAATTTTCCCTTTTAAAACACACGCATTTCCACACATCTCTTGGTTATTGCTTCTTAGGACACTTATGCAGAGCAAAGGACTGCCAGCTATCTCCTGCCTCTCATCCTGTTTGTTAAAAAGGAAAGGAAAAGTGTGGAAAGAAAGAGAGAGAGAAAAAAGACCACATACTTGCATCTTCAGTGTTCAATCGGCATCGCTGAGCAGACTATCACCGCTATTCAATGCTATATTACAGATTATGGTTTGCTTCTTTCATGCAAAGTGTTACAGCAAGTACCATGAAAGCATTCCCAAAGAGGAGCATGAGAAGGAGCAGGGCAGCAAAGAGTGGCAGCAGGGTGGGCAAGGGCACAGGAGGTAAGTGAAAGAAATCTGACGAGGCACGTCAGAGCGAGAACAAAAAAGCGAAGCAGGAGTTGGACATTAGGGCTTTGGGCATGTGTCTGTAAATTCCACAGTTTTGGAGCAAATGGAGTGCTGGTCAAAGGCTGTCTAAGAAGATCGTTTTTCTTTTAAAGGGGGACTGGATGCACCAATCATAAATACAGTTCCAAAAGAAAAGAGAAAAAAACACGGGAAAAGGGATTTGTGTGGTTGTTTTCAACGTAAGGTACTCTTAATAGCTGGACAGCAAAGGGGGAAGAATACAAAAAAACAACAACAACCAACCACACCCCAAAACAGCATGGAGGCTAGAAAGCCCCCGGACCATGTATGTCACTCCACACTCACATGTTTTCTTTGAGGGCGATGATTCGGCTCATTCTTGAGTTATGAAGAAGGCAACAAAGATATCGGTAAGAAAGTCAAGAACTCCCCTTGGAAAGTCATCCACTCAATACGATATAGCTGAACCTGGCCTTTTGCCATTCCAATCAAGGCCCTCCCCCCCAACTGCAATCAGATCAGTCCTCATCTAGGGGAGGAGAAGGGGGAAATAGAAAGTAACTCCATCGTGATCTCGTAGGTTGAGTTGCAAAGATGGCCCTGCATCTGTGCCTCTGTTTCTAAGACGCTGCCCCTGGTGGAGAGTCCTGCAGGTTCCAAACTCCTACCGCAAAGCTACATTCCATCAGTAGATAAGTGAACATGGCAAAATGTCTTTTCTTCCTCAGTTCAATAATATTAGATCTATATCTATATACCTATCTCTCTCTCTTTCTCTCTCTCTGTATATATAGATACATATAGATGCTCTCTCCAATAGTTCTTTTAGAAGCCCTGTATGTGGCAGTAGGCTTCCAGAGATGAGAATAATATGTACAAGAGCCAGAGGAGCACAAAGAGGCATGAGGTCAGAATCTTGGCAGTCCGTGGCCCGCCCAGCTCACCTCCAATCTCCGGTCTCCGCCGGTAGAGGAGCACGCCAACACTGATAAAAGCAAATATAGTGAAGAGGGTGACGGAGAAAGCCAGGGTGCCTGGTTGGACTTCAAATGCCCTGCCGTTGGCTGCGTGGTAGATGGCAGCGATGGACCAGGCGACACCAATCCCCAGGAAAACATTCACTGCGTTGCTCCCGGTGACGTTGCCTATGGAAGCGTCTGCGTATTGATCCTGCGTGGCTGCCACCTTGCTGGCAAACGTGTCTGCGGAGTGAAAAGAAACACCGTTGTTAATCTTGCACCTGTTTGCCACCCCAAGGGGCTTGGTGGCGGCATATTAGGGCAAAGCGGAAGTCAACTTGCTTAGCAATGCAATGTCATTTGCGGTGTGAACCAGTCGTTGCAACTTGCCTTGTCACATAAATATATGCCGATAGACTTCCGGGGTAGACTCTCAGATTTGTTCCTCCTCATTTTCACAGAATACAGCCTCCTCTACTTTGCTGTTTAATTTCCCAACCACCTTTATAGCAAGTACAGGGTTAATTCACTAACAACATAGAATGATAGAACTGTAGAGTTGGAGGCCCATCTAGCCCAACACCCTGCAATGTAGGAATCTCAACACGCCGTCCCCCATCCAATTTGAAATCATCTGTACCCTGCTTAGCTTTGCAAATGTGCTAGCAGTCTTATTGCATGCATATTTCCCGTGCCCTCCAGCATGCCCATAGTTAATTCACATACCAGCTTAACTCAGCGATCAATTTAAACATGAAACCAAAGTCAACCTGCAGGAAAGCTTAGTTGCTAAGCACCCAGTCTCAGTTGAAAAACTGAGATCCTCTCAGAGCAAGAACCTCAGACTGCAAGCCTAAAGTAGCCAGATTCAGGCATAAAGGGGGTCTTATCTGAAAATGGAACATGCACAGCCCTATTCTGTGGTAGCTTCCCATGAGAATAAGTCGCTGAAAGCTGCTTGAAAGTTTGAATACATTCTTATTTGCATGTTCTCTCTCACCTTCTAGATCCCATCCAAAGATGATTTGCCTTTCAAAAGACACAGGAGTCTATGAGAGGGTTTGGTTTTAAGCAAGCACCAATATGCAGATACCGTATTTTTCGCTCTATAAGATGCACCAGACCATAAGACGCACCTAGTTTTTGGAGGAGGAAAACAAGGAAAAAAATATTCTGACTCCCAGAAGCCAGAACAGCAAGAGGGATCGCTGCACAGCGAAAGCAGCAATCCCTCTTGTTGTTCTGGCTTCTGGGATAGCTGCGCAGCCTGCATTTGCTCCATAAATCGCACACACATTACCCCTTACTTTTTAGGAGGAAAAAGTGAGTCTTATAGAGCAAAAAATACGGTATTTAAGTGAACTTCACTCTTGCTTCTCACTTCTCTTATAATAGCCGGAGGAAAGGCGATGGAGAGCAGATGAAAAGGATAAACAGCACCTTCAGTTTACAGATTTATTCCACGCAAGTTTCCCTTTCAAAGGTTACGAGGTGTGACCCATGGTACAGGCACCCACTTTTTCTAACAATCGATTCTACTCTGCGCCTGGTAAGGATAGCACCCTGCAAATGATGCTTTACAAACCGGTTGCTAGCCTTGGGGAACATCTTGATAACCATGGTTAAAACAACGAAATTCCCATGTGGCCGTGATTCCAAAATCAATTCCAAGCCATGGTTTCTAGCACAAGTGACCCATGGTTAATGTGGGTTTTGTCAGTAATAATAACCATTAGCATTTGTAGAAGCAACTCCCAGTTGCCCATGATCGACTCATGTGCATGGCACTTTATAAAAAAACAAATAATTCAATTCAAACCCCAGAGCCGGAAGAGGATGTTAGTGAGCCAAAAGTCCACAAATAAAGGTTTTAAAAGCTTTTTTTCTAAAAAAACACACCCTTATGGGTTCCAAAATGGCATGTGGGAGCACTCACTGCTGCTGCGCTACCCCACTCAATAGCTGTTGGGCAGGAGGAAGCTGTATTGCATGGGTTTGGACGCACTGTTCCCTGCCCTTTCTGGAAATCTGGAAGCAAATGTATTGTATAAAAGAAAAAGAGCATGGAGAGCAGGTAAAAAGAGGAGCTTAAGGAGTGCTCCCTACTTTACGTGATTTTACTTATGCGTGTGGGGCCCCGGAATATAACCCCCTGCATAAGCGGGGAGTTGCCTGTATAGCATTTTGCATCATTACTGGGTTGCAGTCTTTACCAACAGCCTTGTAAGTCAGTCTCATTATCCTCTCTATTGCAGATGAATAGGTTGATCCTGAGAGAAAGCCTGAGCTCTCATGGCGGAGAAGAGATTTAAATCAACCAGCTACTTTCTTATTCATAGCTCTGTCCTTAGACACTACATCACACCAGCTCACATGTAACCTGAAGCCATATTTAACACCTGCATAGGAAGAGAGGATGTTACTCTACAAAGTGGGGAAGAAGAGGAAGGCAAAGGAAGCACTCTTTCCTGAGGCTGGCTGCTATTTTGCAAACCATAGTTTAGAGGGGCACAGAATTACATTGCTTTGAGTTGCCTTTAATTACTACTACTACTACTACTAAGTCTACACTGAGTCGCCTTCTCTGCACTTTAAACCAGTGTTGGTTATTTTCCACCTATCCCAATATTTTATCTTTCCAGCCATCTGTTGACTTTGTGGTACTCCAACAACAAATAAATATCCATTTCATTAGAGGAGGAAAAGTGTCATTTAAAACCCATCCAAAATGCATAAGTCAATATTTTTTGGAAAGTTTGGGGGTGATCAAAGACAATGCAGCAAAATTTTCAACAAAGTGATTACTTAATGCACTTAAGCACTCCCAGGTCAACCTGGGTAAAAGGGAGATAAAGAATAGCTCATGAAAAAAATAGCAGTTGTTTAAAATTTCATTCCTTCTCCCCCCCTGCCCCCAAACTGCTCCCCGCCAGCACAAGAAGTTTTAGAAACATGTTCTTCCCATGGAGTTTTGAAAGCAGAATTATGAAATCCCAGCTGGCAGCTAAGCTCTTCTTTCCCAGGGAAAGAAAAGGCCAAATAAATATAGCAAGAAAGTTAATTTACAGTGAAATTCAAAAGCTGCTTTTACCCATAAAAATAGCACACTGGAAATTTCTATAATTGCTGTAGGAAAGGAAAAAGGCAATCTCGCCACACTTTTGTCTCAGCAGCACCCCAACAACTTAATAATTATGCTTCATAATTGACATCAGAATTACTCGGCTCCTTTGTGGCTATTAATGTGGCAGCCACAGGAGTTTCTGATAGACACTCCATCACAGAGTCAGGGCCACTGCCCAGGGGCTATTTTTCAGATACAGGAGAGGGTGATTTTATGGATCATTCATGCACCTGCAAAAAACACAAGATTGAGCCTACATTCCTATACACCTGGGATTTACGGCCTAGGACCTACGGGACTGCCTCTCCTGGTATGTCCCATGGAGGACCTTACAGTCTTCAAACAAAAACATCTTGGAGGTCCTGGGCCACAGGGAGGTTAGGCTGGCCTCAACCAGAGCCAGGGCTTTTTTGGCTGTGGCTCCAATCTGGTGGAACACTCTGTCACAAGAGACTAGGGCCCTGCGGGACTTGACATCTTTCCGCAGGGCCTGCAAGACAGAGCTGTTCCACCAGGCCTTTGGCCAGGGCTTAGCCTGACCCCCTCCTTTGGCAATCCTCACAGAACTCTAGCCCAATGGTTGCCATTAATTTGTTTTGAACTGATTTTATATTGAAATGATTTTAGAATGTTGTGTTATTTTACTGTTGTTAGCCTCTCTGAGCCCGGCTTCGGCTGGGGAGGGCGAGATATAAATAAAATTTTATTATTATTATTATTACGATGCATTGAACTAAGCAATAGACCCGTATAGGATGGCACTGTAAGATCGCCTCTTGCATTGCTCACGAAAGACGCCCACTGTTGGGCTTCGTTTGACCTCTATAGTAAAAAAAAAAGGGTGTAGGTGGCAAGAACAGCCCTTGCCATTACAATTTGAAAAATGCTACAAAAGAGTTGCTCTCTGATAGTCATTGAAAGCTGATGTTGTGCAGCTGTGGCTCATTTAGGGTGCTTCTAGACACCTCCCCCCCTTGCATTATCCATATGATGCCATATGATGTCATCAAAATCCATATGATATCTTCAAAATGCCACCCTGTACCTTTTAAAAAATATTAAATCCAGATTTCATATTAACGTGGAAAATCGGTAAGTGTACTTCTAATGGGAGCATCAAAGCAGATGTTGGTCATTACCTAGGCAGATTGCCATGAAATTGGGATAGCAGAATTTTTTAAATGTTTGATGTCTCCATGTGTTTTTATATTATGTTGGACGCTGCTCAGAGTGACTGCGGTAAGTCCATCAGATGGGCGGGGTATAAGTCATAAATAATTATTGTAGTAGTATCAGTTGGTCTTATTCTCCAGACAACTGAAGGTCTCTCAGTCTTTTTTCAGCCTCTCCCTCACAAGTTGTGGTTTTTTTGTGGTAGGGTATGATAAAGTGGTTCAATGTAGTTTTACTGTCTACCATGAAATGTTGGGGGGGGGGGGATCCTGAGATACCAGCAAATGCTGAACTACACCATAGAATTAGAATCATAGAATTGTAGATTTGGAAGGGATCCCGAGGGTCATCTAGTCCAACCCCCTGCAATGCAGGAATATGCAGCTGTCCCATACAGGGACTGAACCTGCAATCTTGGAGTTATAAGCGCCACACTCTAACCAACTGAGGCCTTGAAAAAATTGAAAAGAATAAGGTGATTATGCAGTAAAGGGCAGATTTGGAAGCCCCCTAACACAGCTAGTGTGAAGGTTCATTAGCACATTTTTTGTGTGGTGAGCGGGTTGTTATGCATGTGGTGATATTTGGGTCTCCATCACCACATTCCTACTTTTATTTGCTCCTCGCCTGAGTGCAACTTAGCCATTTTGGGCTGTGTCTTAAGTTCTACTCAAAGCAGACCCCTTGAAATTAATGCACCTACGTTAGCCATGACCATCAATTTCAGTGGGTCAGCTCTTGAGGAGGTCTAACATTAGCTAGGTCTACCCTTTGTTTCTGGCAACCCAAATGTTGTACACCTATTTCCACCAATTGCCGCATGCTGTTGGAATGTCAACAACCAAGTTCTTTCAGGATCTCAACATGTGTCGGGGATTACCTTGGAGATTGTCACTGCAGTACATAAACAGAGAATGTCAGTATAGCTACATATCAAATCTTGTGCAGGACTTCTGTATTAATTTTTTAAAAACAAAAACAAATCCAGATCAAAATGGATATGGATGTTGTAAGCACAAACCACTATTTCGCCCATACTGAAGCATGCTGGATAGAGCCCAGTAAATGGCTCTTTTGCCTATTTCTTGTGATTTATTTATTTTTAAGCTGCATGCGCACAGGTACAAAAAGATCTCTGCACATTCAGAGTGATGGAACAGGACAAGTGTTTAACAAAAGTGATGGGATGGGGGAGTGGAGTTGTATGTTATGGATGGATCCAACTGTAATAAACATTTCTGCAAGATTGTAGAGTTGCAAAGCTGATGAAAAAGAAAATTTATTTAAAATTTAAAGGACAAAGCATCTGCCAGAGAAATCTGCTGTAGAATTTAGCCACTCTGTTGGCACCTTACCCCAGTGAGTAAGGAGATACGTTGAAGCATATATCTCCAAATCCTGGCCTTATTCTCTCACCGCTCCAGCCCCAAGTATGGGATAATGTACTTTATGTAGCCAGTTGCTGCTGCTGCGCTCTTCTTTATATCATTTAATGGGATATTCAATATATTTTTAAAATCATGGGGTTTTTTTGTTTTAAAAAAATGGTAATAAACATTATTTACACATGATTTAAGCACCACCTCATTATTCATTGAGGTCAGTGGAATTAAATTATGTCATAAAATGTTATTGCAATCTGCTAAGGAATCCAGTCTCTCAAACGGGAACTTGATAATATATTATATTCACTTTGCTGTTGCACTTGAATGACTCATAGGGATAGTTCAATTACTTGGCTTATTAATGTGTTCCACTCCAAGATCAGCACGGCTGTTTCAACGTGATGAGATGCCTATAAGTTTGTTTTTCCAAAAACTAGGTGCCATCAATGCAACTGGTGCTGTGCTTGCAACTTACAGCGAAGTCCTATGCATGGTAGCTCAGAACCCCACACCTCCTAGAGGGCTCTGGAGGAGCAGGTGACTGGTTGCCTAGCTAGAACCCTGAACAGGTGCTCTCTTGCTATGGGGTGATTATACATGGCAACATTTGAGGTTTCTGGTTGATTTTAAATGTCCCTTTCTACTGGCAGTAAAACAAAAGTAAAGGTATAATTACAAACCGGTGCAGACAGAGGAAGAATGAGTGAATATTTACATTGTAAACTGCCTTGGGTCATGGACTAGTTGGATGCAGAGGAACGGTGGGAGGAACCAGCTGAGGAACCCTTAGGGGAAGAAGACTACGAGCCTGGGGATTGGTGGTGGGACAATGAAGAGGGAGAAGACTGGGGAAAGGCGGTGCCGGAAGCTGAGGAGGTCATGGGACTTAGGGAGCAGAGAAAGTTTGTGGTAGAAAGACATCCAGAATCAGATGCAGAAGCTGAACCAGGTGAGGGAGAGGACGGAAGCCAAGAGGCAGACATGAGTCAGGCTGGGGAAGAGCCACTATGCCCTCCTGCTGCAACAAGTTCCCCTACCCTCTTGTTTCCCGGAACCAGAAGAGGTATGAAGATGGTGGAGGAGAGATTGGTGACACACAGGCGCAGTCTCTGGTTGCTTGGGAAAAAACCTGGAGAGGAGGGGGACTTAGGCAGCTGTGGGGAGGTGGGGAACCTTCAATCTGAGCAACTGCTTCATGGGGACAAGACCTACTGGAGATGAGTTGTGCTCATTAGGCCTGAAACTCCGGTGCCAATTCTGTTTTTGCTAACAAAGAGTTAACTTCAATTAGGAACAGTGTGATTTACACCCTGTGATCCTTAGACGAAGGGCGATAATAAGTAAAATGAACGAATGAATAAATATTCAACAAAGAAAAGGAATGGGTAAAATGTTTGTCCCTTGTTAAACTGATTAATTTGCTACGCTCCATGATGCTGATACGGTGCTTCTCTGCTCAAAGCCCAGTCAGTTAGAATTAGGCAGGCAGATGGAATCTTGCTACGGCGGTGTGTCAAGGATGGGGAACCTGTGATGTCGCAAAAACTGTTGGACTCCATCTCCCATCAGCCCCAGCCAGCATTTCCTGGGGCCAAACAGGATGTGAACTGTAGCCAACAGCATCTGGAGGGCCACAGGTACCCTCTCCTGGTGAGGTTACCTAGGGTGGTTGTTGTAAAGATTAAAGAGCTAATATTTACTGAATCACTTGGAACATTTTGAATTGCTGTATCAATATGCAGGCATTATTACTATGTGAATTTACGCTACAGAAATAAGCAGCAATTAATAAATGAGGCTACATTGCAAATTTAGTCTAAGTAAAGTGTCATTTATTAATGGTATGCCTTCACAGAGAATGGGGATGGTTATAGATGCCTGTTCAAGGATTAAGCTGTCATTTTCATTGTAGAAAAGATTATTGTCAGGCTGATCATTTATAATCTGCATATTTTCTTAGGATAAGTGATGACTGCTTGGCGGCGGGGGGTGGCTTAGCTTTTTATTGCAAGTTACTTGATTTTGATATTGTGCTGCGCATTTGCAATGCAGTTAAATGTCACCATCCCGCCGCAGAGTAGCCCTCTTCCCTTCTGTAAGCGCCTCAGCCCTTAACAGGCTTACAGAAGTGTAAGTAATTTTTAGAGACTGCGACAAGTTTCATAACGAGTTTGCTCTTTCAAAGTAACGTGAACCGACGTTGCACCAACAGAAAAGGGAGCTTTCTATTTCAATAGTCATTAAAAGAGAGTTTCATTAGCTGTTCCCGCAGCAAAAGACAGCCCCCGATGCTAAATGCCACTCTGTTTTCAGGAATTGTGTATGAACATGCTAGAAAGTGGCTGTTATATTCAGAAATGAAAGGTTGGCTGAAGCTGCTTTGAAGTGGGGAAAAAAAGCTTTGGATGTTTGGGGATGCTAGGGGAACACACACACACACACACACACACACACACACACAATCTTGCTTCCAGCATATGAGAGATACATGATAGATGGCATGAGATATTTTTGGAAGAACTGTTCCTGAAAACAACCCAGCCATGAAACCTTTCCCTCAGACTGAATGACCTCTCAGTTCTCATGCAAATATAGCTTTATATAACAGATCCACAGGTCGGAGTTAGGATGGATTGGAGGGTGAGACAAATGCTAACAAAGTCACCTCCTCTTTGTCCTAGCACAGCCCCAGAACCCATAGATTTTGCAGAGCAGGTCCATCCCTCTTAGACAACACTTTCCAAGTGTTCAAAGCAGGTCACATGCATTAGCCTGGTGATCCTCAAAATGTCCCTGCAATGGAGGTCGGTATTGTTATGCTCTTCACAGTGCAAAAGTGTGTGTAGCTTAGCATCCAGTATTTCCCCTTTTTACATTTGTGAGGAACTTGAGAGCCTCCAGAAATTGGTGGGCTGCAACTCCCATCTTTCCTGATCACCTGCCAGAGCTGGCTGGGGCTGATGGGAACTGGAGTCCATCAGCCCTTGGAGGCGCATGCCTTAGTGGCAAGCGAAGGGCTGCAGTGTGTGTCCTTCAACACTGCTTGGAAAAAAACACTAAACCCAAAACTAAATGGGAAGAGCCATTGCCATGCTAACTGGAACAGGGACAGAGGGGGCTTGGGAATTAGCTACAGTCATACCTCGGGTTACAGACACTTTGGGTTGTGCGATTTCGGGTTGCGCACCGCGCCAAAGCAGGAAGTACTAGAACGGTTACTTTTGGGTTTCAGCGCTTGCACATGTGTAGAAGCTCTAAATTGCGCTTTGCGCATGCTCAGAAGCGCCAAATTGCGACCTGCGCATGTGCAGATGCATGGGTCACAGATGCTGCGGGTTGCGAACGTGCCTCCTGCACGGATCATGTTTGCAACCCGAGCGTCCACTGTATATCCTGGACTCCTTCCTTGACATATGATGTTACAGATTGGTCCAGTGCTGGCAGCTCAGTGGGCAGAGGTAATTCATATCAGACGGAATCAGTAATGGGCAAATGTTTCTTAAAATCTCTACGTACTGAGAACAATTATTCAAGTTTACTTTCTTTTTGCAGATCACTGCATGTCTTCATGGACACCACATGGCAAAAGACTTTCAAAAGTTTTTGCATTAAAACTCAGCCTCCAAATTTGCCCTTTACTGGTAGGACACACTGGTATATGTGGCATGAGTGCATGGAGAACTGCACACAGGGTGGAAGAAGGTTGTTTTGTTTGAAGTGCCTCCTGCACTTGCTGCTGGTGGTGGAAGCAACACTTGAGAGAGGGAGTCTAGCTTAGTGGCAGATCACATGCCTCAAGGTAGGTGGTTCCAGGGTCAAACCACGGTGCCTCCCCTTAACAGGGTCAGGTAACAGTGGATGCGAAAGATCCTTCTCTGCTTGAGACCCTGCAGTGCCCGAAAGAACAAGCAGCCGATGCAGATAATTCTATGTTAGATTAACAAAGAATTTGGACCTGGCATAAGACAAACTTCAGCTCATACTGAAAGACACACGCTGCTCTTCAGCCTAGATTTAAAGTGGGAAGTGGGTTACCTCTTTAGCATGTGGGGCAACAGCTTAAGAACCACTGCCACTGTGAATGGTGCCCAGCGTAAAAGACTTAGGCCCCTGGGGATTTTTTTCAGCACGCAGCTAACATATTTTGCATATAGCTCCCTTGAATGTGATGGATTTCAACACATGTGGCTGATGGATAAGAGCTGTTCTGACAGCAGCACTACTGCGCTGCTCTCGCTCATTTAAATGGGGCTTTAATAGGAGAATCTCTGGTGCCTTGCTTATCTGGCTTTGCGGGCATCAAATTTTGTCCTTGCTCCTTCCCCCCTGTGTGACAAGGCAGTGGGTTCCATGCTGGCTAGAGCTGATGGGAGTTGGAGTCCAGCAACAACTAGAGGGCCACACACTCCTCATCTCTGTCTTTGGTTATGCACTCATCAAATATATATTTGGAGAAAAGCAACACGAAACACAGCAATTATTTCAAATTCTTATGAGGACTCTTCCATTAGATTCTGGGGTTAATATGTAAATATCTGGTTGGCAGAAAATATTTAGGTCTCTTGCTCAAGAACATGTTTTTTGTTTTGTTTAATGCCTTTAATTGTTCTCTGACCTGATTATTTCCCCTGATTTCTTGTGTAAGGTTTTAATGCGCAGCCTAAAATTTGACGCATGTGCTCCAAACCGGGGTACAAGTGTGTGCAAACAATACATAAGGTTCATTCAGTGCTCTCCTCTGCAATTGATTACCTGAGCGTCATCTGAATCACCAGGAGTCTCTTGTATGTACATGGGCCAAACAACTCATGACACTAAATGCATGGTTTAATGAATAGCTTTAAAAATACAAACAGCAGCATTTGGGGCCCCTGATCAGAATTGGGTCTGTGGGGAGCAGGGAGTAGTAGTTTAAGCTTCCACCCAATCCTGACAAAAACCAATCTGCCCCAAGCTGCTCTGTGCATAAAGGGAAGGTCTTATTGATAGCAGGAAGGTTAATTCTCTCCTTACTACCCTTCCGATTTGGCTCCCCAGAACCTACTGCTATGTGCATTTTTACAAAATGACTCATAGTACAAGTAATATGCTCCTTACAATTTAACTAAGGCTACTTAGAAGTAAATGGACTAAGGTTGCAAGCAGCCCATTACATATTCTGGAATAACCCGCTTGGTTCTAAAATAATTGTTTTGCAAATAAATGGGTTGATAATTGTTAACTAAATCTTCCTCCTACAATCTGTGTTACAAATTGCATAGACACACAGTCCAGATGGAAAATCCTGGACTGTTGCCAGGTCTCTTGGGATCCCCCCCGCCCCACACAGCAGAGTACAATGGCATGAAAAACATTGGCAAGGCACGAAATTATTGTGACTATATTTGCGTTTTTGGTGTTGTTTCTTTTTTCTTTACCTGGCACTGAAGTCCCCAATGCAACGAACACGACTGCAGTCACAGAATCCTTCAGCCCAATGGTGCAGCCAAAATGGGACGCCAAGTCCCCAATGAACGCAGTCAGAAGGCCGATCATTAAGATGGACACAACAAAACAAGCCCAACCATTCCAGTAGTCTGTAGGGGGGACAAAGGCAAAAAGGACCTTCCAGAAGACGGTCAGAAAGTGCATCACATAGTCAAAGCAGGAGGGCAGCTTCTCTTCCCCACATTCATCGTCGTCATCGTCCTCTCCTGGAAAAATGAGCAACAATGCGAAAAGAGAGAGGTGTCAGTGGAAAACTGGCTTTTCTAGTCACTTGCAGCTGGCGTACACTACCATCCCATTGATGCTGGATGCTCCACAGATAGCAGTCTTCCCCAACCTGGTCCCTGTAGATTACAACTCCCAACTGGCCATGGTGGCTGGGGGTGATGGGAGTTGTAGTTGAAAGCACCTGGAGACTGGGGGATGCTGTTAAATACCACGGTTGGAAAAGGTGGCAGAGGTACCAACTGGAGTGGACAGAAATGGCTTAGACAGAGCAATGATATGAATCCACATAAGGTGCTTTTATATATTCATATGCTTTATTATTATTTCCGCCCGTGGCGCTTATGGCCTGAACCACTTTGGTTGACGGTGCGACAGGATTTCCAAATGGCACACTGCCTCACTACCCACAGCGCACACCTGGTCCTCCCCAAAGCTGTTGGTACACAAAAATCCACATGTTGTTGTTGCTGCTGTAATAAAGCAGACAAATAAGGTGGTTTCTTTGCATTATGTTCACTGCCCATCACCTCAACATTTCACAGAATCAGGATAATTATGATTATGTTTAAAAGAAGAGGTTCTGCAGAGGCACATATGCAAGGCTGGTTTTTGAAACAGGGCTGTCAATCCACTAGATATATTCTTTTAATTCATTAACTGAATATATATATATATAAATATTTACATATTAAGCACAGACTTACCATAGGTGCCTTTTTAACAAACTGAAGGAAGGTAGCATGCAGCTTAATAAACAAAGGTTATCACTCATGGTTACAAGGAAAGGCCATCTTGAATATTTTAATTTTCAGTTCATATTGCATAAAGCATGGCTTTAACTCACAACCCACAGATGAAAATTGTGCCCTCGTGATCAATCATCTAATGCTTTATCTCTATTTATTTTTCCTGTGTTTTGCATTATTTTGCACATCTCTATTCCCCCGCTTCACTTGAAATCTCAGGTCAAAGTAAACCATAGTTAATGGTATACTATGAATGTGTGCTCATGTTACGCTCCTCCCCACTAGCATATAGTGGGAACAAACTATGAATCCTAGCTTAGCATTACATCCCAAATGGGGATTATTGTATGTTTTGCTCCAATAAACTAGGATCAAGAACAAACCTTGACTGTAGACTGTGGTTTCTTGGATCAAAAAACCCCATGATGCCTGATTTGAATGCAAAGCAAAACTAGGAATCATAATTTGTTTCTCTGCAGCACTGGCAGGTAGTAGTGAAGTGGGCGCAATGGTTTATGGTTTTTTTTTAAATTTTTGAATGTGGCCATTTTCTGGCTTTTCAATTTAATTTTTGTTAATAACGGTTGGTACTGTTTTATTAAACGATCCATCAGCAATGAGAAAACCATACATGCAATGGAAACACAAAGTAGAACACACCCCACGCCGTCACACACCTCCCAAGCCAAAATTTTCCCCTCACCCCCAGTTAACCAGCCTACCACCTGAAATTGTAAAGAGGTAAAGGAAGTAAGAGCAGAGAAGGAGCAATAAAAGGAGAGAGAAAAGAACAAAACACACAAACAAACACGTTACTCACTCTTCTTGGATGGTTCTGCAGAGGAGCAATAGGTAAAATTCAACTGTTAAATATCCCAAAGAGTTTTTAAAGTTCCATTAAATTCATTGCACTTCTCAGCAGTGTCCCAATTACAAACACATCTTTCTTTCCCTTGCTGGTTGGTGTAGCAGAGCATGAACCCAGTTAGAGATGGATGAACCTGTCAATTACGGTTTCTTTCAGTCTCTCTGCTTTCCTCTCTTAAGTTCAGTTTGCCCCATTTCTGCACCAATTTGCAGATATTTTTAAAAGAGCCCTCATGAAAATCTGTCAGCATTTTAGTATTTTTTCTCTGAATGGACACATTTTGAATGCAATTTTGTCTCATATAGACTTTTTTTTGTAAGCAATTTTCCTTAATGCAATGCACTTTTAAATATTATTTTCATTGAGACATGTATTGTTATGCACACTTTCCTCTAATATACATTTTTTAATTGAAGTGCTCTGATTGATGGATATTTCAGTTCATGTGCTGTTTTAGGAAGTCTGAATTGGGCATTAAAAATGTGAGCTGAACAGAGTGTCTCCCTCATCCCTAGACCCAACACACCTGTTTTATTTAAAAGTGTGCCAGTGAATAAGGTGTGAGGAATCGCAGTTAAATATAACTATCAAGCTTAGGGCTGGTTAAGGCATGAAGTGATTTAGACCATAGAAGTATATTGCTAGCCTCAGATCACTCCCCCCTCACCACTGGTGAAGAAGTTGGCTAACACGTCTGGTCAGAAGTATTATTCTGTATTTTGTAACCCTGTGTTCTTCTTGCTGCTGCATAGAATAACACATGAATCTGACCTTTGGAGTTTGCAAGTAAAGCATTTTCGACTTACTAATGGTGTGATCTGTTCATTTTGAGAGGGGGAGTGCTGTAAGTGAACTAAACAGGGTATTTAAAGGGTCTAACAACCTCTATTCCCAACACGTCATTGTCGCTGCACATTTTGTGACTTTTAAACTCTGCTGGGGCTCTCTTACTGGAGAGTTTGTTTAGCCTTGTGGTTTGGATCTAGGGATCCAGCCAATTCTTTTATTAATTACACCACACAGGTAATATATATCTATTTCCCTCCCCCACCCTCATAATGTTCCTGCTCTGAGAACTGGTGATTATGGGAGGAGAAGCTGAGGATGAGCCACAGCAATGGGTGCTGTACCCTGTGACTTCTGTATCAAATTTGCAGAATCACACTGCCCCACTCCACTGAGCTTAACACTGGAGAGGAAAGGTATGTTGGACTGATTGTAACAAAGATGCTTCCAGAGTAGGCCCCACTGCTTAAAAAAATATTACACACACCTTATACCTCTATGGGCAAACTACATGTGACAGTGGAGAAGCCTGTCTTTTTAAATGCAGAAATGCCCCAGGGAACGGGGGTCCTAGCATGACTGAAGAGCAAAAGACTACATAGGGGGTGGGATGTCTCTCTGACCCCACAAGCCCCTCTTCCCAAACACTCCCATGTAATTTTCTTCCAGCTGAACCCACTTTGCTATTGTTCTCTGCAAGTTGCTATATTTCCTTATTTGCCCCACATAATGTCTGAAAATGGGGCTTAGCGGAGTGGCCATTCTGTCCTCGCACCAATGACTCCAGCCTCTCTGCCTGACCCACAAGGCCACCTGTTACAGAACATTTTTACACCCCCCCCCCCGTTTGTGTCAAGCAGGTGCAATGATTGTTCTTGATGCATTGTAGAGAACCAGCTTATATAATCTTACAAAAAGGGAGGAGGAGGAGGAGCACACTGGACAGCTGTTAAAGCCTGGAGCATTCAGGTGCCCTCGCTGTGTGGCTGCCACATTTTCTCAGTAGGGTAATGATCCGTTTTATTGCGAAGAAAGGAAAATGCCACTCTGTTTTCCCCTTAATGTAGTGGTGCTTGCAGTGCAGAAAGAACCATCCACCTCGCAAACACACACAACATAAATCCTTCCTTCCTGGTTAGTGACAATAGTCAACAGATCTCCAACAGTTCACTCTCAATCTACTCTGGAATAGCCAGAAATAATGTTGTTGCGTTGCGAGGGCTTTGTAAGTCAACAGAGAATGGCAAAATCCTACAAACGGGGAAGATTAAGAGTATAATTCTATGCAGGCCTACTCGGAAGGAAAGTAGGATTTACTTCCAGATAAATATGTATAGGTAGCCATCATAGGAATCCCAGAATTGTGTTGAGGAATTCATAGGGGGGAATTAGAGGTTGGTATGTTTAATCCATCACCTGCCTGCTAATTCTTCTCTACCACGACTCCCCAAGTGAATATTTTTTCCAGGTGATTGTGAGCTCAGAAATATGCTTGGCTGAGGGGTGGGGACTAGCCGGGGTGGGGTGGGGTGGGGTTAGCTGAGGATTGTGGGGAAGAATGGTTAATTGGCGAGAAAGAGTTTAATATTTTTTAATTTTTTAATTTTTATTATTTGTACCCCGCCCATCTGACTGGATTGCCTCAGCCACTCTGAGTGGCTTCCAGCATATACAAAAACATGGTCAAACATTACACATTAAAAACTTCCCTATACAGGGCTGCCTTCAGATATCTTCTAAAGTGTGTATAGTTACTTATCTCCCTGACCTCTTCTTTCCTTGGGAGGGCATTCCTCAGGGTAGGCGCCACTACCAAGAAGGCCCTCTGCCTGGTTCCCTGTAACCTCATTTCTCGCGGCGAGGGAACCACCAGAAGGCCCTTGGAGCTGGATCTCAGTGTCCAGACCAGGGGTCAGCAACCTTTTTCAGCAGGGGGCCGGTCCACTGTCCCTCAGACCATGTGGTGGGCCGGACTATATTTTGAAAAAAAGTATGAACGAATTCCTATGCCCCACAAATAACCCAGAGATGCATTTGAAATAAAAGTGCATATTCTACTCATGTAAAAACACCAGGCAGGCCCCACAAATAACCCAGAGATGCATTTTAAATAAAAGGACACATTCTACTCATGTAAAAAACACGCTGATTCCTGGACCATCCATGGGCCGGGTTGAGAGGGCAATTGGGCCACATCCTGCCCCCGGGCCTTAGGTTGCCTACCCCTGGTCTAGGCTGAACGACAGTTTAAGTGCCACCTCACTCTGCATTATTTGCATTATGATAAACCAGCAGATGCCCTAACAGTTAGGTAATCTATGAATTTTTAGCAATCATTTTATCCATCTATTGAATAATTTTAACACATGTCCTACGCATGAGGGGGTCACAAGAGGCTGACATGCATGACAACCCCAACGAGAGGGATGGGAGAACTGCGAAGCAAAACTCACAACGAATGCTGCTTGGCACATCATGCATGTGAGGATTATGCACGAAGGCAACAGTTTGCTAGCATGGTTTCAAAATTTTCAGATTTTCATATGTTCTGGGATTATGAAATTTCCGGCTATCACAGAGCTTGCTGTGGGTGGTGGTGGCAAGAGCTCCTTTAAAGTGCTTTAAGTACTTTTGAAAGCACTAAGATTTCAAGCACTTACCAAGAAAAAACCCCCCAAACCCTGCATGAACACAACCACCTTTGTATGAATAAGTATAGAGTCACCCTCCCAGCTCACCTTGGAAATCTTTTGATGCTTAATTCTGTCAAAGTACATTATGGAGAGAGATGAGGGACCAGGACAACAAAAATCCATTAGGGGAATCAAGCACCAAGCTATTATGGGCAATTTATTGTTTAGGTTAATATTAAAGAACTTAGCTCAGTGGCTCCCTGGGCATTAAGAAACAAAAGGCTGATGGAAATGGCTAGATACAGAATTCAGCACAACGCTCCTTCCTTTGAAGTGAGTTCTGCAAGCAAAAGACATGGCTGAAGATCTTGCGAATGCAAAGGACTGTTCCATGAAGAGGATGAGGGACTTTCCCCTTGAGTGACTATTGGGCTCATTTTAACATACTTGTGAAATGTCTTGCTTCCTGCTAGCTGAGTAAACATTACAGAGAACCAAGCTTGTGAAAAGCAGAATCACTGGGATGAAATCTATTATTATTACTGCTACTAGTAACAAATAATTCATTTCCATCATGCCTTTTAAGGTCCAAAGAACCTCTGATGGAGCTACCCATAAAAATGAAACGGCAGCCGGTGCAAGAAGTAAAATCCCAACCAGCCAAAACAGGGCCCAGATAAACCACTGGAGGCCTTACAAAACAATATACAAGTTTGCCCGTCTCCTGAAGGCTATTGGGGAGGGAGCTTAGAAGGCTCCCCTGGGCAAGAAGTTCTAATATCTTATCCTTGGCTTATTAGAAAACACTGAAAAATGTTGCAGTGTGGAGTTCAGGATTCTACCCAACCAGCTATTCTTTCTTTCAGGATACTCCATTCCACCCTCCCTTCCACAACAGTCAGTCGGCATTCCATGGCTACTGAGCATGCTCAGTCTTCAATGAGCATTTTTTGTTTAGGATTTTAACTCCCCCCCACCTTTTAGGTTCTCGCTTTGTTAAACTTCCGCAAACCTTGCAGTTCCCTCAAGCATGTGGGTACCTCCTTGTTTTCTCCCAGTGGCCTCTTTTCAGTTTTATCACCATCATAAGTCAGCCCCTGAATTTGCAATTAGTATAATGAATGATGGTGAAGGTCGCCAAGCATTGGACAGTATGGCAGAGTGGCTAGAGCTCTGCTTGGACACAGGCCCTGTAGCATCTTTCAGCATCCTCAATACAGGTGTAACTAAAGCTTAAGTATGTGTAACTCCATCTGCTCATGCCCCCCTCTAGCTAACCTTGACTCTTTCTCCCTTTTATGCCCCATTGTCTGAAGGCAGTTCCAGACTGTCACTGTTTTATTGGGTGGGATCAGGGCTGGCTGAAGACATCTTGACACCTGAGGTGAACCACAAAATGGTGGTCCCCCAGTGAGGAAAGAAGGAATGAGTGAAGCGCCACACCAGGGAAATAAAGCTCTACATTGGGATCTGCTGTCCCTGTGGCTCCTGCTGCCCAAGGCAGTCGTCTCACCTCGCCTCATGAGTTGGCTGGCTCTGGGTGGGATTCAGTTACATACCCCCAAATTTGGGTTGCACAGCTGAAGTTGATTTGGATCTCTTGTGCAACAAGCCCGCTCTCCCCTGCCCACTGAAAAAGACTCTTTGCTATAAGGAACGTGATGCGAAAATAAACTGGAAAGTGCAGAATTAGCTTTGCTTGGCACAACGTCGTCTAATGTCCCTGTAAACGAATCAGAATGAATGCTCAACAAGTAGCTGATGGCATCTAATCTCCTCACAGTCAAGTCAGGATGAATGTTCAATAAACAAGTCAACTGGAAGTGACCAAAGTTTTTGTTATAAATACTCTGGATATAGGCACATGGGACTGGGTTTTTGTTTAAGGAATTCTGTAATGTGCCCTGTAAATTGATGGTGCTGGATTAGTAAGTCATAGCAACCATCGCTTGTATGCATTTTTATTCACTATCTACTTCAACTCACCCAACCTTCTTTCTCCATTCTTCTCTTACTCTTCAGAAACGAAAAGTAGCAATGACACTAGTTAACTTGGGTTGGAGCACCACACTCTAATTGAAGACTAATGGAGCACAGCAACATTGACATAAAAAGAACCCGCAAGTGTGTTAAGTTTTCAATTCGCGTAGGTGATGGGTCTCTGGAAGCCTGAGAATAGACAGTTTATAGAACCAGCTCCGACATATTTCCACCCCGCTCTGACTCAGGAGTCCCCTGCTCATCTGAATTCTCCTTTAATCAGCGAGAATGTTAGTCTGACGGAACAAGAGGCAAGTTTTTAACCTGTTGCCCTAGTCAAGGTCAGTCTATTGGGAGTCAGGTATGTGGTATAAGTACTCCTCTCCATCACCATATGCTCCTGCTTCCAGCTCGTCACTTGAAACAGCCATTTGACAAGCCGTCTCGATAGATACTGCTGCAGAATATGCTGACATTTCTAATGAAGCCCCAGGGACCAATAACACTGACTTTCTCAAGGTGGCACTGATAGAATGTTTCTCTGGTTACAGGAAAAGCATTCCGAACCACTGAGACTGCAAAGCCAATCCAGAAAATGGCCTTCATGTGTCAGAGTTTCATTACAGAGTAATAGATAAAGAACAGGATAAGCAATTAAGGACTTCATGTGGGAGACAAAACTCATCTGATCATGGCCTCTTTGGAAAAAAAATGTGCAGTGCTAACTCTTGACAACTTTCCCTTTACATTTGAAGTCAATTAGAGCCGTTCTGTTGATTGGCTAGAATGGGGCATAAATGAATTACGTAGTCAGGGGAAAGGTTACCGTAACTTCTGTCACAGAGCTTCAGCATGCTGATGACAACGTAGTGTGCATACGCTCAGAGGATGACCTCCAAACCATCCTAAATATCTTTGCAGAAGCTTATGAAAAGCTTGTCCTATCACTCAACATCCAAAAAAACCAAAGTGCTGCACCAACAAGTACAAAATAACCCCTCTGCAGTGCCACAAATCCAACTCAATGGTGTAACATTGGAAAATGTCAATCACTTCTCCTACCCAAGCAGTTATCTTTCCACAAGGGCCAACATTGATGCCAAAACCCAGCATCGCCTGAGCTCTGCGAGTGCGGCTTTCTCCTGATTGAAGTGCAGAGTGTTTGAGGACTTGACCATTCGCAGGGAAACCAAAATGCTTGTTTACAAAGCTATTGTACTACCAACCTTACTATCTACTTGTGAAACATGGACCACTTATAAACACCATCTCCAACTCCTCGAAAGATTCCATCAATGGTGTCTCCAAAAATTTTTACACATCACTTGGGAAGACAAGCGAACTAATATCAGTGTACTGGAAGAAGCAAAGATCACCAGCAAAACCACTAGTAGTCAATAGTTTGGAAGCAGGAAAGAAATCGTTGCAACACAGACTTCACATTGGTACTATTGATCAGTCACTACCTGCAACAGTGAATTAAGCAAGTTTTTAATAGAGACCAAATTACATGTTATATGGGAATTGCATGACTGGATCCTCTGGCTAGCGGAATAACTATGGGCAGGTGGTGGGGAGGCACTGCCAATTTTCTCACAGCAATGGTTACGGGGGAGAAGTTATTTAAACCTCCTACCCATGTCAATTCCTGATCTAAATTGCTCCTCACCCAAATGGCGCTGGCAGTCTCTGCAGAGGTCCGCAGAGAAAGAAGTGAACTGTGGCCGTTTGCTCATGTGTTTAAGATTCTCAAACTTAATCCGTTTTGGGAGTCCATTCAACTCCCGAAATGGTTCGAAAACCAAGGCATGACTTCTGATTGGATGCAGGAGCTTCCTGCACTCAATCAGAAGCAGCGGAAGCCACGTCAGATGTTCGGCTTCTGAAAAACATTCGCAAACCGGAACACTCACTTTCGGGTTTGTGGTGTTTGGGAGCCAATTTGTTCGGGATCCAAGCCGTTTGGGAACCAAGGTACCACTGTATGCTCAACCTGTATAATTGCAAATAAACTAAATATTCCAGTGACCCAAGGTAAGTGATGGAACTTCTTGTCACTTGGGAGAACTGGGTGAGCCTGAGAATAAGAGAAAAACCCTCCTGGATCTAGTCTAGAGTCCTGCTCTCACAGTGGCCAACCAGATGCCTATGGGAATCTTGAAAGCAGGACATGGGGGCAACAATGGAATTGCCCTGGGGCAGTGGTGTGGGAACTGTCCTTGCAGTGCTGAGCCACTGAACGCTGTATCAGCAGCATAACCTGACGTAACAGATTAGCAGCTCTCCCACTATAGATGTACGAAGGATGCCATTTTGTCGAAGGATGACTCAGACAAAGTGTTTACAGGGCTAATAGTCACAGGCCAGATTCTTTTTGAAGCAGGGAGAGCCTTCTATTTTCCCGGCGAGTGGTGGGAGCTGACACCATGTAGATAAATTTAAATTTCTCAGAGCAGAGTTGAATGAACAACTCGGATACAGGAGACTTTGGAACAGGGGGGAAACCCCCCTCCCCCGAGCTTGCTGTTTAAAAATGAAATAAGTTGTGAACTTTATCAAGATTATTTAAATTATATTTAACAAAAGACCAGATAAAGGGCATATTAAAGAGTTGTCTTTGAAAGAAAGGAATGCTATTAGCTTAGGATCTTCAGCTGTCATTTTGGCACAAAGGAAGCAGTGAGATAGAGTCATTTCTCCAGGGCTCCGTCATCAATGAAAAATGGCTGAGTAACTAACTTCTACCAGATTAGAAAACCCCATTTCCTCTTTTAAGATAGCTCTTCCAGTTCTAACTGTGATCCAGTGACATGCAGCCTAATCTTGCTGGACCACCCACATATTATGGGCTGTGAAAAGTCTAGAAATAGGGACTAATAAACTTTTCAATAAGATATTGGGCAAGCTGCAGGCTGCTGTTCAGCTTTATACAGGGCAATATTAACTGATTATATTTTTGCTTTTAACATACACACAGGGGCCATGCAGTAGCAGATGGTCTGGTGGGATGCCACTGCTCATCTGACCTCCAGGTGGTCATGTTGCTGTCTTTTACCGGAAAGCAGAAAGGCAAGCAGATGATAGGGTTGGCCGGGTGCAAATGCCTTGCTGGGAGTTCCAGATTGGCTCCACCAGCACAACTGCACGGTGCTGACCTCTTCAAGGCCCCATCTCTCCCTCTCTCCCTCCCAGTAAGCAGCAGTGACATGACCAACTGGCGGTCAAGTGAGCACCACTCCTGTCCACTATTGGGGGCCATGGTATACATCACCGCTTGGAATATTTCGACCAGCTGTATTGGCTTTGTATACAGCAGAGGCTAAGAATAGCGAAATCCCGGCATCCTGTTTCCCACAATGGCTATCTGAGTACCACTGGAGCCACCTTCACCCACAGAGGGGGAAAAAAAGGACCACACATTTCCGTTGCACACACTTTTTGCACGTAACACCTGTTTTGTCTCTGAGAAAAAGCAATGTGGCAGCACGAAAACAACGCCAGCAAGCGAATCTGAAGAGCGATTCTCCAAGGCGAACAGTTGACAGTTTGCTAAAGCGTCCCCCCCCCCCCCAGCCATGGCAAACAGGTTCATTGGAAACGCGTGTTTCTCACTGGGTGCAATTCTAGCCTTTAAGTGAAGGAAGTCACAAGGGAGTGAAAAGAACACCTGGAGGTTGGAGAGGCAGCTTCCTAGCTCCACTATCTCAAGCATAGCAGGCTTCATTTTGGGAAAAGAGAGGCGGAGGGGGGGAAGCTTCCTTCAGACATGCTCAATTCTCAGTAGCATTAAGGGGCAAGGAAGAGCCTGAGAAATATCGGAGAGCCAATATATGCTCCAGATGCACGGAAGGACTCCGCGACTTAAAAGCACTCTAGGATTAGAGATAAGATCTGTCCTTTTTGTTGTTTATTCAGCACAGGTCATGTAATAAATCCTCCAAATGCAGCCTAGTTAAAATAAATGAAGTTATTTCCCACCACCCCACTCCCTAGACGCAATCCAGGCATGTGTGTGTGTGTATCACAGGCTCAAATGCAGGCGGAGGTTGTTGCTTGGCTGGGAAAGTTTCTGACACTCACTTTGTCTTTGCACTTGGCTGCTTTTGGAATGAACATTGGAAAAGTGACAGAAGATAAAACGCTGTCATTTGATTTATCACTCTCTTATCTCCATGGTCAACTGATTGCTGAGCTGTTCTTTTTTGGCCTGCCACTTCTGGAATGGCAGGAACTCGGCCTTGAGGAGCACGGCCAGCAGCCCGCAGGGGAATTCTACTCTGAGGCATGTGGGAGAGGAGGAGGAGCATCTGTCTGTGACCATAGCAGGGTTTGAGGAGGGCAGGAAGGTGATTGCAGCAGACCCGGCTAATGTCTCCTTCAAGCAAATGTTTCCCAAATCATGTATTGCGAGAAAGCTGTTAAGCATGTAACAGGAGAAATGGCCTTATCTCTAGTCTTTCCTGGAAGCATGGAAAACTGGCCTAGAAGCTCATTTATGAGTGGTTGTGTTTACACGAAAGTGAAGGAAATGTACTGTTCATATGCTCGTGGCATGTTCTCATTCATATTTTTGCTCTTTCTCTTATGCTGGAAATTAGACTAGATTGGCCTTTGGTGCCATCCAGAAAGGCAATTCTTATGTTCTTAGTATTTTTCAGCTAGTATGCTGCAGGGTGTTTTTTGTTTTTAAAAAAACATTTAGTTTCTAGTACAACTGCCGGGTGAGCTACTTTGGCAGAGTGGAACTCTGGCACAAAGATAATTTGAAGGCACTTGTTACTGTATTGCACAAGTGCACAAGTCCCACAAGAGATTTTTCTTTTAAAGGTCAGTTTTGTAAGATCCATCCCAAGAGACAGCCCACTTATTCTGGCAAAACTAGATACAGTAGAAAAACAAAAAGCATCAAAACTGGGTGAAGTCTGGAAGGACTGTACTTGCAACCAAAGCAAAAGCTTCTGTGCAAATTGCAACAGGGAATCTTGAAGTGGGCACACAGCCTCAGATAGACTATTTTTCTGTTGTCGAAACTTCCATAAAAGCTAGAGAATCAAGCCAAACTTACATCAGCTCATGAACAGGACTGCATTGGTACTATAGCTGAATGCAGAACCGAATCGAGCTTTTTTATACTTTTGTGATTATAGATACCAGGCATAGGCAAACTTGGCCCTCCAGATGTTTTGGGACTACAACTCCCATCATCCCTGACCACTGGTCCTCTTAGCTAGGGATGATGGGAGTTGTAGTCTCAAAACATCTGGAGGGCTGAGTTTGCCTATGCCTGATAGATACTATGGGTGGAATGCAGCATAAGTGGTGTGTTTGTGAGTGGAGCAAAGTCTGTGCATGCAATAAGACTTTTTGACCCTCTCCTCCCACCCCACATCTCTTAAACCTGCTCTCCCAACACTCCAGAGCAGATTTAGGGGGAACCGATGAGGAAGATGGGGGGGGGGAGAGGAAGTCCTGTTGTGTGAGTGAACCTCATTCTGCACACCCAAATTTGTTGCATTCTCCCCCGATATATTCTCAAATGTATATCCTGCCTTCCTTCCATAAGGGAATGAACTCACAGTGGAATGTGTGGGGCTCCCAAGTGGCCCCCCATCCTGCTAAGTATCAGCAAAATTTGCTGTATCATGTGGTTTCAAACCAAAGGCACCATACAGCCAACAGTGTGAAACCCACTGGTGCAACAATACTCTGAGTGCATTAGCACCTATTTTGAAGTTAGGATCCTACACCCAAGAGATGCAGACAAATGCATCACATACATTTCTGCACCCAGCACCCACGATGGGAAAATCCCACTGGTACTGTTCCTTAGTTTTAGGAAGACACATCCCTCACCACCACCACTGACCCTTTAAGAAGAACCTCGAAGAAGAATTGGTGGTCTTTTGTGTTTGGTTCTTTCCCTGGATTCTCCTCCTGCTAAGTTTTCCCTCCCCACCTCAGTTTCCTGATCGCCGTGCTGACTTTCCATGGGCCCCAAGGGAATGAAATCTATCAATCAAAGCTAGAGTGTCCTAGCCATCATACATCATGACCCCAGCAAAGGAGAACCTTCTGGTTTATAGTAGTCCCACTGAGGAACTCCCCACCAGCCCTTCACCTTGGAAGAGGTGATGCCCATGGTCTAGTCCTCCTTTTCTCTTTGTCTCTTTCTTTGCCTTTCTAGCTCTCCAAACAATTACCCATTCAGGGAAGGTGAAATTTACATTTTTTGCTTCTTTCTTTAACCTGATTTGCTTTCCCACATCCGGGTAATGTGGCCAGCAAGATTAATCCACTTCTGGCAAACCAGAGCAGTACACGGAAACGCCGTTTACCTTCGTGCCGGAGTGGTACCTATTTATCTACTTACACTGGCGTGCTTTCGAACTGCTAGGTTGGCAGGAGCAGGGACCGAGCAACAGGAGCTCACCCCGTCGCGAGGATTCGAACCGCCGACCTTCTGATCGGCAAGCCCTAGGCTCTGTGGCTTAGACCACAGTGCCACCCGCGTTCCCTCCTTAGTCTTCCTCAAACAATGCTCCACCATTCCCAGCTCCTCTGTAGATTTAACCAAATAACAACCTGTTTCAACTGAGTCCTATCCATTTTTGTAATAAACCAATTATCAGAGCAATCTAAATTCTGGTTTGTTGCCTTGTTGCTCATGTCCTCCTGGACATGCCAGTTTTCCCTACGGTGTGCTATGACTCTAGATTGAAACACATGTTCCATAATGTGTGAAATCACATTCATGTGTAGACATGGACATACAACACAGAGAACAAGTGTCTAAACTCTGTTATTGCACAGCTTCTATAGATATGAGTGGGGCTTGCATGATAGCCCTACGGAAGCAGCATTAAAAGGAATGGAATTTGTGTTGTTGCTCTTCTGTGCTGCTCCCCACGCCCAGCAGCGGAAAACTTCAACACACTGCAGTGCACAATCTGTTCAAAAAGCAGGGTGATGTTTGCCTAGAAGCCCTGAATATCAACTCTACCTGCTTTGCTTTCACAGCCAAGTGCAAGCTAGGTATATTGGGGTCAGGTTTCACTGGATGCCCTTAAGCCAGGAGAAGAAGGGCTTTTCCTAATTCATGGCACGTGCAGAAATAGAAAAACTCACCGGCGCTGACAGTGATAGCTTCAATGAACTGTTCTCTCCAGCTGTTTGTTCCAACCACAAGAGCTAGGTTTGTCTTCTTAATGAGCTTGTCCACGGTGTTCTGCAGACGGATAGACATGCGTTAGAAAGTTAAGCACATTGTCACTCCAGAGGCTTGCGCTCACGGAAAGAAATCTAAAACCCCTGTAAAGGATGCTGGCTGGCTTCAGAACAATGAAAGTGTCTGAAAATGTACACACATGCAACTCACCCTCCCCACTCCATATTGCTCAAAAAGAAGGTTTGGTCTGTGTTTGCAATGTGCCTAATATAATATTGTTTGTATTATGCTTTTAAGTCTCCATTTTGCATTTAAAAGGCCTTGAATATTTGCACTCAAAGAATTTCCATAAATGTTTTCGAAGCCCAATCCTATACACCGGAATAGAAGCTAGTACTGCCTGCTCTTATTGCTTGTGGACTTCCATGACCTCCAGCAGTGGCTTTCCATATCACCCACTTCCTGTTCCTCCACTGAAAAGGCCAGAGATTGAAGCTGGGGTGAAAGAAAGAGGAAGAACAGATGCACAACAGATATGGTTTCCAACACCTTGTGAGGAAACTGCTGAAAAGTACCTTCAAAACTGCCAGTATGCCAGATGGCCATTCTTGATTTCCTCTAAGTCAGACTGTACCCTTGTCTGCATCTAGTACAGTGGTACCTCGGGTTACATACGCTTCAGGTTACATACGCTTCAGGTTACAGACTCCGCTAACCCAGAAATAGTACCTCGGGTTAAGAACTTTGCTTCAGGATGAGAACAGAAATCATGCTCCGGTGGCACGGCAGCAGCAGGAGGCCCCATTAGCTAAAGTGGTGCTTCAGGTTAAGAACAGTTTCAGCTCCAGAACAAATTAAGTACTTAACCTGAGGTACCACTTTATCAATCTTCTCTACTTGTATTGAATCTGGGATCACCTTATGAGGCAGTTTTATTTCCCAGAATGCAACTAACTAAAATTGATATGCATTACATACGGAGACCAATAGCTTCTTCCCCCTTGCAAGTGAAACTTAAGAGGATTTTCTTAAAAACCACGTAATGATTAAAACTCAGTCGGGCCATCTGGGGCCAGATAAAATTGCTTTGGGAGCCAGTGGACCATCCTTGATTTAAGAGACGCTCAGGATATTTTGGCTGAGTGACGCAGAAAATGTGGAGGCAGTGAACTCTCTCTGCCAGCCAGTAGTGCTCCTTCCCTATTTGTGTATGGAAAATTCTGCCTGATGGAGAACAGAAAGCAGCGTGTAAAGCTGCAACATCTGATTTCCCCACGACAGCCCCAGGGAATGCAAATAAAGAAATAAATGTGTCATTCGGAATGTAAATGTGATACAACTGTTAGTGCTGTGGACCAGTCTGTGTTTCCGCTGTAACGGAAAGAGCCAGAATGGTGCAGTAGTTAGGGAGCTAGTTTTAGGCCTGAGGAGACCTTTAGCTCACAGAGTGAACTGAGCGATCTGCTCTCTTCTCTCACAACCTAAATCACATGGGGATGCTGTTGTCATGAGGATGAAGGGAAGCAGGAAGGAAAGCTTCTGCTGTTCCAAAGTCTTTGGAGGGATAATTAATTTGGAGTCTTTGGTGGGATGTTTTAATTTACATTTAACAGTTTGTGGTCCAGGATGTACCCTATGGACCACTTGGTTTCTTATCCCTCCCTTCAGATGTGAAGGAAATAAGCAGCTATCTTATCTTTAAAAGACATCTGAAGGCAGCCCTGTTTAGGGAAGTTTTTAATATTTAATGCTGTATTGTTTTTAACACTCGACTGGGAGCTGCCCAGAGTGGCTGGGGAAACTCAGCCAGATGGGTGGGGTATAAATTATTATTATTATTATTATTATTATTATTATTATTATTATTATTATCATCCCTAAGGTCTTCAGGAGAGTTACTGTCAGTGGTTCCCCATGGATTGGTATCCTCCAGGAATTTTGGGGCCCAATTTTATGGAACTCCATTCCAGTTGAGATCAGACAACCACCACCCTGTTGAACCTCTAGTGCCGAATGAATACTTCTTTTTTTAAAAAGAAATCAAAATCAAAATCAGTAGACTTTTCAGTAGACTGGAAAATTCAGAAGACTGAATTCTGATGCCATTGTTTTAACAGATTTTCTAGCTTTATCAGTTCAGTCTACCACTACACGTCTTACAGATTATTTTAATTAAGTGGACTACAAATTGCCAAAATAAATAATGAATGAATAAGGTTAGAAACCGATATTCTGAAAGGCATGGAAGGCCAAAGTTTGCTCTCAAGATGTGAGCTCCGTACCTGTGCCCTACGTGTGTGGGCTCTCACCTGTTGATGCTAGGAGTGGGGTGGCACTGTTGGCCTCGCTCCTGACAGTGTTTCTGGGCTAGCCATGCCCCCCAACATCCACACTCAATGGGTAGACCTTGGGGGTGGAGCTATTCTGGACAGGTGACTTGGGGAGTGAGCCAGAAGCACACAACCTTACTCCTATTGCAACGAATGAGATCTCAACATGTGTGCAATGCACAAATAGGACTTAACTATATTTCACAATCTGAGAATCTGGAAGTACTTTGTGCATGTTGCTGTCACGTTTGAGAAAGGCTTATTTATATCCCTTGAATTCACACAGGCACATTTTAAAAAATCCCAACAGAACGTGGTTCTGGGTGCATCATTTAACTTCCTGAGAATGTTTGCTTTCATTTTTTTAAAAAAAATATAGTCCTTATGATTGCTCGGGGGGGGGAAAAGACCACAGAAGGAAGAGGAGCAGCTGAACAAGGCTTACAGTGGCATAATTCCTTGCCCTCCTTGTGAAGATCAGAATTAGAAAATGCATGCAAAAAGCAGGAAAAAACGGTAGAATAAATTATGTAAATCTGCCTAATCAGCATAACTTGACTAAATGGTGCAATCTGCCTTTTCTTGGGGCAGAATTTGTTATTTTTTCGGCACAGGAAAACACAGACCTGGCCTTATGTTATGCCATTTTACACAGATTTGATCCCGATTCAAAAAGAGGGCTGTAATAGTTTTTCAGGGAAGAGGGCTCATGGCAGTCCATACTGCACCTTGAACTCGTAGGACTCCTCAATAATCACTTCCAGCTTCGTATGCTCCCCTAAGATAGGGCGCCCCATTTCTGCAATGCGACGCTCTTCCTCCTCTTTGCTCGTCAGTGGTTGCTTCTCTTCGTTCTCTTCTGGAAAGTGGAGAGAGAGAGAGAGAGAGAGAGAGAGAGAGAGAGAGAGAGAATAATAAATTTACAGATTTTGAAATAGGGCTTTCACTTCTCCACAGCCAGCTTTTGTCAAATGGAGCTGAGATCTACTATTTATATTCAAATGTGCCCCATTGCAATGGCAAAAGCAGGCAAACATCTGTTATGGAAAAAGGACAGGCCATTAAGCAAGGGGCCAGCGCCTGCATGGCGAGGGGCCTGAACAGTGCTGCTGCAGATGGTTTGCCTGGAAGCATTAGCAAATGAGATCACTGGCTCATAACGTCTCCATATTTCAAGTGATTGCTTCCCCTCAGCCACACCAATTTTGCTATACCTCAGTTTAGGCTACGGCCCTGCTTTGGCAAATCTTTCCGGCTCAAGGAAATGGAGAGAGGCACTGATTCAGGGACTCCTCTCACTACGATGACGACGACGACGATGTATTTTAATATCATTTTTTCATAAACATACAAACAAATAAAAATATCACAAAGCAGTGACTATTTTGCAGAGGCCAGGCCCAGTTTTGCTACTACGAGTACATTGAGGGTCTACTCTGAGTGGGTTTTTATTGAATACCACCCTTAAGAAGAAGGAGAAGAAGAAGAGTTTGGATTTGATATCCCGCCTTTCACTCCCTTTAAGGAGTCTCAAAGCAGCTAACATTCTCCTTTCCCTTCCTCCCCCACAACAAACACTCTGAGAGGTGAGTGAGGCTGAGAGACTTCAAGAAGTGTGACTAGCCCAAGGTCACCCAGCAGCTGCATGTGGAGGAGCGGAGACCGAACCCGGTTCCCCAGATTACGAGACTACCGCTCCTAACCACACTGGTAAAAGATTTGTTTACATGTACGCCTAAAAATGTAGCTGGTTGGAATCCAGCATTGCTGGATAAAATGTCTGGGGAAACCTGGGCATATGGCTGCCCACATTGGAAGTGCTGATTTTTTTTTTTAAAAAAAGCTCAAAGCTCAACAACTTTTGTGTCCAGAATTTCACTTTTTGAAATAAGGTAACCCTATGCGTGGCGCTGTGGGTTAAACCACAGAGCCTAGGACTTGCCAATCAGAAGGTCGGTGGTTTGAATCCCCGCGACGGGGTGAGCTCCTGTTGCTTGGTCTCTGCTCCTGCCCACCTAGCAGTTCGAAAGCACATCAAAGTGCAAGTAGATAAATAGGTACCGCTCCGGCAGGAAGGGAAACGGTGTTTCCGTGCGCTGCTCTGGTTCGCCAGAAGAGTCTTAGTCATGCTGGCCACATGACCCGGAAGCTGTACGCCGGCTACCTTGGCCAATAAAGCGAGATGAGTGCCGCAACCCCAGAGTCGGTCATGACTGCACCTAATGGTCAGGGGTCCCTTTACCTTTACCTTTTTAACCCTATTCTAGTGGGACTCCTTGTGCTTGTTCCTGCTAGCGTAGCTGTTTATCGTATTTATCTTTATTTTATTTATTGAATTTGTTTGTCGCTTTATCTTGCCCAGGGCAACCCCCACATAGATAAATTAAAGCCAAGAAGAAAAAGAAATACACTAAAAATATCCTGCCCATTTCTAAAAGGCCAAAGGCCTTGCTATAGTAGGAAGCAGTGAGAAGGATTATTGTTTTGTTCTTGTTCTTCTTATGCATTTTGTCTTTTTATTGTGTATTTTTGTAATACGAACCACCCTGAGATCTATGGATGAAGGGTGGTACACAACTTTAATTAATAATAATAACAACAGAGGAAAATTTTTGTCTGGTGTTTACACCGCATTTACTCGAATGTAATGCGCACCTCAGATTCGATGGTGCATTGGATTTGATTGCAAGCTTGAAAAATACCACTGGCATAGCAAATACTTTTTGGGAAAATTGAGGTGCACATTAGATTCGATGGCACATTAGATTTGTGTACATATATTATATAATGAGAGTGCCAGACAGGCTTATTTAGTAGAATCTGGCCCTGTGTACACGGCAAACAAGTGCTTGAAAACACATGTACCATACAAGTACTCTTCTTAGGCTATTAAACACCTTGAACTTAATGATTTTACAACCTCCTCTCTTTATAGGGTGATGAATATTACTTTGCTTACTTCCAAATGAGTCTTGCTGTGTTTGGAGGTCCTCCTGCTCAATCTTCTGAGCAGCGCGTTTGGGCTCTGCCCCAAAGTCCTCCCTGGATGGCAACAGCTCCTTACTTCCTAGAGCACTGGGACTAGCTGTGAATGGCTGCTGGGTGCGCACTCAGAGGCAAACCTGGGTTTGTGCAATGTGTGCAGTGGCCCTCGACAAGGACTACAGATCCTTGACAACTCTACTTAGTACAATGCACGTATTTTCAAACACCGGTGCTTGCCACCTTCATACTGTGATTTATTTGTTAAGTAGCTTACAGACTGCCCGGCACCACAAAGGCTACAGGGTTGTTTACAATGATCAAACATTGCACTAACCATAAAAACTTAGAAAGATTAAAAACAACTGCTTCCACGCAACTCAGCATCAGCACAGCCATATCTTACTTCTCCCCCAGGTTCCCCTCATACAAAAGCCTGCCAGAAGAACCTTCCCCTGGTTTACTTTGCTCCAAGTTCAGACTGTGTGTTTGAAACGATCTTTCTGTATTTTGTACCCAAGAGTACCAATGTGGGTGACTGGCAATCTGTTCCCAACCCTTGGTTAACGTGCCCGACTCAGAGCAAATTTAGCTTAGTCCAATAAATGTTTAGGGTTCCTCTTTTTCTTTATTTTTTTGAGGTGGTGGGGAGCTGTGTTATGTACCCTATGGAATGCCCTGAACTTTTGCTGTTAGGGACACCTCTTGCATTCTGTGGGTCTCTGGCATTTCGGAATAAGAAACTCCAAATAAATCCATCCTCTTTTTGAAAAGAGACATCTGGCAACCCTCTTCATGTCTGAGCACAAGTTCCTCTTGCTGGGAAGGAATTTAATTCTTTGCTCTCTGCCAGCCCCTTCAGTTTTCTTTTCCTTTCCCCACTTGTAAACCCCCCCCCCCACCTTTTGTTCTTTGGAAGAAGTGAATCCGGAAGGTGCTAATGCAACTTGATTGGTGTTTAAAAACAATGGGAAGCAATTTGTTAATTCGAATGCTACCCAAGACAATGATGGTGGAGGGGAGGGTGGGCGGAAACAACTGTGATTTTTTTGTTTTTGCTGGAAGTGCCTGAACCAGCTGCTTTAGAGAGAGCGGGACTATGAGGGAGATGCAGAGAAGCTGGGGAATGGGTGCTGGTGTTACTACGTGGAGCCCGTAGGTGGCTGCAGAGGGCAATGCTTTGCAGAGGGCACCAGCTCAGAGAGAAAGGGGTCTCCTTTCCCAGAAATACCCCGGACGCTTGCATAAGTTATTCAAGAGCGGCAGATGCCAAAGAAAGGATGGGGGAGTTGGATTGGAAAGGAGGTGAAGGGTGACTCCCCCAAATGGGCAAGGAGTCCCAGTGGCAGAGGGAGATGGCAAAGAAAGGGAAGGAACCATGGATGATGGGGTTTCACTGCCATGAGAGGTGCAGTAGTCAGAGGCTGAGCTAGAAACTACAGCAGGGGGTGGATGCAGTCAGTGGCTGACCTACCTACATTTCTGGGGCCTTGAAGCTTGAAGTGTTATGGGGCCACCTTCACAACCAGAAACAAGGTCTGGGTAAGGGTAACCACTGCTATCTTCTTCGGTGGGGTTGTTCCATGACAGATCACCAAAACTTCACAACATCTGTGCTACTGACTCTCAAAACTTTGCAATTGTTGAAATATATATAACAACAAAAGTAATCCATTTGACTTGTGCGACTCAAATTGGCTCTACTAATTGCTTCTGGGGACCCTCCAGGATTAGGGATGCTTCATGAAGCTTAAACTTCATTTGTTTCATATCAGATCTGCCCCTAGATGTAGTTCCCCATGTGAGGCTGGTGACCCTGGTGACCCTTCCCCTTCATCAGTGGGACCACCTGGCAGTGGCTAGGTCTTGTTGCTGTGCCCATTTCTCAAAATGTACTGCTCCAGGGCATTATGGGAGAGTTAAATAGCTCCCCCACCCAAGGATAAGAATACCTGTAATGAGAGAAAAGTCTGCAGAAAAAAGTGAAGAGACCCAGTTGTATCCAAACAGCAGGGGATGCTGTCCACTGAGGCTGACTCTGATCTAGCAAAGTGGCTGAGAATTCATGAAAAGACCTAATAGCTCCAGGGTTTGATAAAGAGGTGTGTGTGTGGCATTTTCATGTTTCATTTATGATGCCAAAGTGCTTGAGGCAGGCAAGAAGATCACAAAAGACTTGGGAAAGGGAAGTGCCCCAAGAGAACCGGAGCAGATTTTGCCTCTGAGACACCGTTTAATTTCAGGCATTAGGGATGACAAAATATTACCTGGCAGGCAGCAAAAATAGGCTGCCATAAATAGCTCAGCTGGTAGAACATGAGACTCTTAATTACAGGGTCATTGGGGTGAAAGATTCCTGTATTGCAGGGGGTTGGACTAGAGGGGGCTCATGGTCCCATCCAACTCTACAATACTATGGTTCTAGCACTGAAGGTTGGGCTCAACTTTGTGGGTTATAAGTTGGGTTGATCTGGATTGGAATGATACTGTACCTCCCTATTTTATAAGACAAAAGCAGTTATCCTTAAACTGTCAGAATCCTCTAAGGCCTTATGAAAAGGCCTTAGAGTTCCAGTCCTAAATCTTACTTCATGGATGGCTTATAAGGAAGGTCAGGAGCTCAGCTCATCATTATGCATTCCTCATATAATGAATAATCATGCACACCCTACTTCTCTCTAAATTGCTCCCTGATAACTGCTACTACCAGGGGAACCAACTTGAATAAAATATTGGGGGGTCCCAGATAAGCCCCACCCCCGATCCTAGTGCTGGTGAAGGTTTATTCCCCGTGAATCACCTCACTTTTTATCCCCAAAACAGCTCTGTGAGGTTGACTGGTCTCAGAAACAGTGCCTGGTCTGGGGCTACTCTGAATTCTTAAAAAGGAGAGCTTGAACACAACTCTCCCCAGATATAAGTTTCTAGGCATTGGGTTGCATTCCCACCACCACCCAAAATCAATGAAGGTGGGCTGCAAAATTATGCATTTGCCTGCTTGGACATATTTTTAGGACCCACCTTATTTCTGTGACAATAAGGTGTTTTAAATTGCTTTTAAATATTGCTTTTTAATTGTTGTAACCTGCACTGGGACCTTGGGGCAAAGGGTGAATTAACAACAACAACAACAACAACAACAACAACAACAACAGCAACAACAACAACAACAGGTGGGCAGCTTTACCCTCCAAGTCATCTAGTTTAATTTTTTTAAATGATAAGCAACCGGGAGTTGCTTCCTCTCTTGTCCTAGCAGAGCTCTGTGAACCCAGTTTGCACTCTCTGTCTCTCTTCTAATCACAAGGGCCATAAAAGGTTTTTGCCCAGTCCTAGCTAAGTTGCCATTCAGCAACCCTATTACAAGTTTGTTTACAAGGCTTGTTGAAAAATGAAGTCCAAACATGGAAATGACAGAAAGGCATCAATGCCCATCAACTTTAGGGTGGCCAGGCCCCCTCAAATATTTTATGGGTGTGTGTGTGTGTGTCAAAGTGACATGGGCCCCTAGGCATTGGTGCTTATTCCCACTACCTTGGATCTCCCCACCTTGGCTCAGCACTGGGTAAACAAGACCCAGACTACTTTTCCTCCTAGTCTCTTATAATGCACAAAGCATTTCTCTGATTAATACTGTGCTTGGGTAGAGAGATGCAGACTTCCAATCGCCTGCTTTGCTCTATCTCCCCTCCTGGTCTCTCTCCCTTTTATGTGCTAGTGGGGGGAGGCGAGAGCCTGCCAAGTGGTCAGTTGCAGCCACACCCCATCATTTCTGGCCCACCTGTGTTTACCCCTGGTTGATCCAGGAGTGCTGGTGTGCAGAGACTGGTGCTGACCATTGGCAGCCTCACACGCTATCCCATCACAAAGCTCCTAAGAGATGAGTTGTACGATGGTTATGGGGAGAGTGAGCCAAGTCTTTTGTCAGCTTTTATTTGCCTACAACCTCACTTGGGTCAAAATACTGAGATTCATGATGACTTCCTTTAACTTAGGACTGGACAGATGTCTGCCTGGCAGGCTTAGATGATGCAAGCAGGCAGTATGAGTTGCTATTAAAGAGCAGCAATTTGCCAATAATTTAATCCGTACCTTATTTTTCAATGGAACCCACCCACGCCCTACTCCAATGCACCACATATATGAAGTCCTAAACTATTGCTAATGCACATTATCTGTGGAACAGAGACCCTGGCAAACAGAATACCTTGAATGTTGATTACAGTAGAAGGAAAGGGATGGTCTCTAGGATGTACCTTCCGGAAGACAGGTTTGCCTAGCAAAACGATTGGCAAAAAGTTAAATATAAGTGGGTTGCTTTGAGTTTTGGTGGCCGGTTTAACACTTGGTGTTGTTAGGTTTGGTTAGCTGCAAAGAATCTACTTGGTGAATGGCAACTTCATGTGAGGTTATTGCTATGACAATTTCCCACAGCAGACTCTCAAGCACCGCCTTCCCGCATTTTGAAGAATAAACAGAGCCATGAATGAGCCCACCTGCTCAAGTGCTTCAAAAGATTAGACTGCTACTCGTCACCTTTGAAATGGTGGCCTCCTAATGGAAATCTATTTCCAATCACAATTTTGCAGCTTAAGATTTCAAGGAGGAAAAAAAAAATGATTACAGCGAATGGGCACTTGTACATTTTTAATACAGTCTTTATCATTCTCTTCTTTGCTATGCAGTTCCAATCTTCCCCTGGGTTCCTCAGAGCCATAGCTATGCTGCAGACATTTCTCAAGAGAAGTTAACAGAAATACATAAATTATAAAGTGCTCCTTTAGCCTCAGGGCTGAAGGGCTGGCTGCATCTGCTCACCTGGTTGATGCTGGTGGAGAAGCATGGAGTAAAGAGCATGTAGAGATTAACAGAACTCCACTGAGTTCTGGCAATTTCAGCAGACATGAAGAGAGCATAAAGGACCCTTGGTAGGTCTGCTTGATAATGCTGTTACTGAGATGTTGACCTTACTCAATGTAAAAGACATCAGTAAGTTCGTAGAATAGGCATTATTATAAGGGGAAAGCTGCTTTGCAAATGTTCTGTGGATAGCATACAGGGCAGTGTTTAAAAGTAAATGGCTATCTTTATCACAGAATTAAATTCTATTTAGGATGCAATCCTATGCACATTTACCTGGGAATAAACCTCACTGGAACATAATTCAAAGTAAGCATTAACAAATTTTCCTTGAACAAGTCTAAGATGATCTTGTTTCCAAAGACATGATTTCCCTTACAGATTACTGAAAAATTAAATCCCATTTTTGGTGAAAGAAGTGGCTGATGAATACATTAAGTACTCACTTCTTAAAGGCAGTTCTTAAAAACAAACTCTTCTGCACAAGAGCTCTTCATCCTTAAAGTAAGAAGTCATCTTACAGGAGAGGCGGAGCTTTAGCAAGGGGAAGCTATTTATTTGTAGATTATGCTTAAGCCATCTGTGTCTATTATAGACGTTGTTCAAAAATAATTGCTCGGTACTAGGGATGCGTAAAATGCCCCTGTCTTTTTCTGGAATGAGCTAAACTAGGTTGGATTTGGAATGGGTCCAAAGCTGTTCATTTAAGAGTTCTTCCTATTTCTGAGCTTCAGGCCTGGTTTTGCTCCAGGTTATGTCATTGGGGGGAACGACAAGACCTAGAGGTCTTGGGACGCGGGTGGCACTGTGGGTTAAACCATAGAGCCTAGGACTTGCTGATCAGAAGGTTGGCGGTTCGAATCCCCGCAATGGGGTGAGCTCCCGTTGCTTGGTCCCTGCTCCTGCCAACCTAGCAGTTCGAAAGCACATCAAAGTGCAAGTAGATAAATAGGGACTGTTCCAGCGGGAAGGTAAACAGCTTTTCCATGCGCTGCTCTGGTTCGCCAGAAGTGGCTTAGTCACGCTGGCCACATGACCCGGAAGCTGTACACCAGCTCCCTCGGCCAATAAAGCGAGATGAGCACCGCAACCCCAGAGTCGGCCTAATGGTCAGGGGTCCCTTTACCTATGTCATTGGGGGGAATGACAAGACCTAGAGGTCTCTCGATTCACTTAGAGAGTCACTGTCTCTATCCTACCTTACCCAAAGCTTACCTTCCAGCAGCAGTGGCAGCACAAAGTGGAGGCCTGCTGCTTTTCATTACACTCCATTTATCAGCAGGAGTTTCCCGACACACAAACACCCTTGGGAATGGTAGTTTGTTAAGGCTTCTATGAACCTTTGAACTGCAAGGCTTTAGCCCTAATCCAAGGCCCGAGACACAGTGCTCTACTCTGCACCGCTGCTGGAAGAAGCCGAAGAAGAGGCAAACCCTCAAAATGGTGCTGAAAAATATATTTATTCAATATTAATAGTCCCATCAGAACAATAAAATGCCCATTGTGTTTTTGTTGATAACCTTCCTCAGAGTCAAAAGACCAAGGTTCTCCTACAAAGACAACGTATCTCCCGCGTGTCGTTGTCTGAAATGCATCGGGCCATTTGTTCTTTTATTAGGACTATCATTCATAACCATATTTTTCAACACCGTTCTGAAGCTTTTAGATGCATCCTACAATTAAATCAGCTGGTGGCTGTGGTGGGCAGATGTTCTGGGGGATGGTGATAATAAGGAAAAAGACTGTGGTGACTTTCAGCGCCATCCTAACCACACCTATTCTATTCATTAGGGGTGGCTAACACCCCAGAGGACAGGATCACACTTCAAAATGACCTTGACAGATTAGAGAACTGGGCAAAAACAAACAAGATGAATTTTAACAAGGAGAAATGTAAAGTACTGCACTTGGGCAAAAAAAATGAGAGGCACAAATACAAGATGGGTGACACCTGGCTTGAGAGCACTACATGTGAAAAGGATCTAGGAGTCTTGGTTGACCACAAACTTGACATGAGCCAACAGTGTGACGCGGCAGCTAAAAAAGCCAATGCAATTCTGGGCTGCATCAATAGGAGTATAGCATCTAGATCAAGGGAAGTAATAGTGCCACTGTATTCTGCTCTGGTCAGACCTCACCTGGAGTACTGTGTCCAGTTCTGGGCACCACAGTTCAAGAAGGACACTGACAAACTGGAACGTGTCCAGAGGAGGGCAACCAAAATGGTCAAAGGCCTGGAAACGATGCCTTATGAGGAACGGCTAAGGGAGCTGGGCATGTTTAGCCTGGAGAAGAGGAGGTTAAGGGGTGATATGATAGCCATGTTCAAATATATAAAAGGATGTCACATAGAGGAGGGAGAAAGGTTGTTTTCTGCTGCTCCGGAGAAGCAGACACGGAGCAATGGATCCAAACTACAAGAAAGAAGATTCCACCTAAACATTAGGAAGAACTTCCTGACAGTAAGAGCTGTTCGACAGTGGAATTTGCTGCCAAGGAGTGTGGTGGAGTCTCCTTCTTTGGAGGTCTTTAAGCAGAGGCTTGACAACCATATGTCAGGAGTGCTCTGATGGTGATTCCTGCTTGGCAGGGGGTTGGACTCGATGGCCCTTGTGGTCTCTTCCAACTCTATGATTCTATGATTCTATGAGTAAGCCCTCCTGATTTCAGTGGGGCTTACTCCCAGGTAAGTGGTGGTTAGGGCTGCAGCCTTAGCGCTTAGTACTCTCCTGGCTTTTGTTCAGGTGGTAAATTCTGATGCAAAGACAGCTGCAGATAACTTGGCACAGAGGCCCTTGAAACATTCAGCCCAAGACCATGATTTGATCTACGATATCCCTTGGCTGTTATGCCAGGAGCCATGTTGCCAGCAAAGCTGCTTAAAAAGCACAAGAGAATCTTAAACCCACTGCCATCCTCTAGGTCTCTAGAGCTCTGTATTATGCTTTAAAATTGTTACCAGCGAATCACTGGAATAAAAAAAAAAAGTCTTACTCTGTTATCCAGAAACATGTGATGTTAAGTGTGTCGGAAAGAAATACCACACCACTTCATCAAACTTGGTTTACACACTAGTTACTTAGTACGTGGGTTTAGTGTTAATCTTAGTTTGCATGAAAGAAAGCAAGATGTCCTACCGTTCAAACGTTTCCCTTGATTACGAAAACAAAAAATAAGCCAAGATGTTAGCAAATGGAAAACAGAGGGCCATCTTCTTCAAATATCCAAGCTGGGTTCATTGTTGGGGAATGTTTTCTACGCCAGCGCTACAATTTTAATCTGTAAAGGCCGCTTTTTGAACTTTTCAGCTTGGGTTCCTCTACTGGTTTGGGAGTTCAAAACATGCAACCATATACAGTCCTTTGCAATGCTCCCACATTTCTTTGCAATGTTGCAGAGGTTCTTGGAGTGCAACTCTTCCTTTAGTTCACTGTTTCCTCAAAACATTCCATGCAACGGCTTGGGTGATTTATGTAGCTAGGCAGGCTTTGCACTCTTGAGAAAGGACTTGGAATTTTTTTTCTGAATTCAGCCACACCTATTATTGAGCTCCATACTGATCCTTCTAGTAGCTATACATCCTTTCCTCATTATATGATTTTCTGTTTTATTTTGATTTTGAAAATGCTTTTGTGGGTCTTTGGACCAAAATAAAGAACGTATGTATGTAACTTGCTTTGAGCTTTTATTATTTATTTTTTAAAGCTATCAGAGAAAGGCAATATGCAAGTATATAACACGTTTACAATCAAAGCACAAAAGCGATCAGTTCATTGCAGAACTGCTTCCACGAAATCCCCAATCAAATTAAAGAAATGGGCGATAAAAAGGGAATGAGAAGTGTGCATTATTTAAATGGTACAAATTTGGGAAACTTCCCTGGCATTCATGTCCTGTTTCATTCTAGTGTGATATGTTTGCCTCTCTTTTATCACAAAAGGTGAAAAGAAATGCCATATGTTCATTACCATAATACAACTATTAACGTTTGATTGTCCTGAGTAGGAGTCCTCACCCCCCCTGCAATAGCATTTGGCTTTAGGACAATGAAATGGGAGGCCTTCTCTTTCTGTATTCCTATTTGAAAATATGCGTTGGATGAATGGGTAATGATTCTGTGGAGTGAGGATTGGGATTCATGTTATAGTTGCATAATATTCTAAGTATATGGAACTATCACATGAATCCCAATTCATGTTATAAACAGTGTACACTGTGTAAACTTTACTGGCTTAAAACATAGTTGGGTCATTGTAAACTGGTTGATTCATTTAATGGACAACTAACCTAAACTTGCTGTTTACAGAAAAACAACAGTAGTTCTGAGCTGCTTCAGGAATGGTGTCATCTAATTTGTTGAGTCACTGGTCTGGTTTGCACCTAACTCCAAGCCATGGTTTGCTAACTTGATCATCTAAACCCAGCCCAGCAGCTAAACCATGGTTTATTAACCATGAGCCAACTATGCTCATATAAGCCATGGTTTGTTGCTGGCTTATAAACACTGCTTAATGTGTGTACTAAGCCAAGGTAAACCTGCATGAATTTTAGCTAATCATGGGTCACATATGTTATTCCTTTTTCCATAAGAGCCTTCTTAATCTTAAAGAGCTATAAAAAGACCTCTCCTCCTACACGAGGGGAGGTGTTGTGAGCGGGAGCCTGTTCCCGCGTCGGCAGGAGGGCGTTTCAGCCCCCTGCATCTGCTTCCCGGCTGCTGCGCTGCGCCCCTGCAGCCAGCCAATCGGGCTGGCTTGGGGGCGGGGTTTAGCCACACTTAAGTGGCCACGGCATTGCTGCGCCCTCATTTTGCTTCCGGAATATGACGGATCACCCACCCACCCTTCCTTTAGGTCATCTCTACACTTTTGACATTGCTATGGACCTTGGTTGGTTGCCTTGGTTGCCCAAGGAGCCTGGTAGGAATTTTTATCCATTTGGCTAGTTGGCTCCAGCCTCTTGGTTTTTCACCTACCTCGAAGCAAATCATCACAACTTTGCGGGTATTGCCGATTAGGCATTGGAATATGTGTGGTGTGTTGGAGGGCAGGTTGTGGCCATCACCTACCCCTCACCTTTTGGGTATTCCGTTAAAGGGATCCAGAGGTCATGGATCTTGTCCGATGCCCTGCTGGTGGCTAGGGCCATGGCGCAACCCCCGGTGACGTCAGGGGAAGCTTCCAGTTGTATTTGCATCAACAAGCTCCTCCCACTGGTTGTTAACCCTCAAAATTACTTTCTGCTGAGCAGGGTGGAGTCATGTATAGATCATTTGATCCAATGCCTAAGCCAATACCACTCACATGCTATAACCAATAAAGTTGTGGCCTTATTTAGCCTATTAACCTAAAATACATGTGTCCTTGTGTCTTATTTATCCCTAAGCGGGTGGCGGGTCCTCGACTTACAAGTGTTAGATGGTACTAATGCTTTGCTGTGCGTCTGTTTTAATATTATATATCTTAAAAGGAAAAGGAATAAGCAATAGAAGAACCTAATTTTCCACATGGAAACATACATTTAGAAGACAGCAAAATAATAATAATAATAATAATAATAATAATAAGCCATACCTGTGATTGTGAAGCCACCTAGAGGAATAGCAAAATGGAAAGAGAGAAAAAGGAAGCTAATTAGCATCTGTTGCTGCACATCACATGTCACCTATAAAATTCTACCCTAAAGTTCCCTACAGGAAATGCACTCAATTGGATCAGGCAAAAATGCCAAAACGTTTCCCATGCGTGAAAATTTCAAAAAGTCCAGATTTGGTTGAAACATTTTATTCCCTGTTCAATTAAGGCCAAGATTAGATGCTACAAAAACATAGCCCTACACTCTCCTCTTCGCTATCCTGGTAACTTTTCAGATTACAAAATGTGTGGTATGGCATCACGGTGATGTGAAAGTCCCCACCCACAGCTCCACTTCATCAGCTGTTCCTTGTGGCTGGAAGATCACAACACAGCGCGATCACATCACATGCTTTGTTTTACCTGGTCTTTCTGAGGGAGACAGGTTGATGAAACTCAGGGCTGCTGCTTTAGTGACTGCTATGCATCAGTCATTGCCAGAAAACATCCCAGGAATATATGCTATTTGGAAAATTATTGCTTCTTACATCTTGGTTTTGAAACTTATGGAGAAGACTTTGCGTGCAGACTCCTCAACAGGGTTTCAGTTGTGTGTTTACTCCTAGCATCTCTAGTTAAAAACTCCAGCCTGAGATCTTGGGAGTATTAGCAGATGGAGCTTCCCAATGGCATGATTCAGTATTAGGAAGCTTCCTGTTTTCTTTTTTGGACTCCCACTCCAACACTAAATATGCCTTCTCATTTCAGCCTCAACTATCCTCCTATTTGCAGAAATAGACAAAGGCGCTTAGAGGATGGCATGCTATCTGTTACAGATTCTAGTTTTCTCTAAAGCGCTATGCCCAACTTCCTACATTCCTTCACACTCTGTTGTCATGGTGCCCATTCAAGTGAATGAAGCAACTTCTTTTGGGAGTGATGTGTGTAGGTGAGCGGCACATTTCCTGTACTCGATTAGCTGGGTATGAATAAGTGATCTGATTCCAAAACAATCCACGCATTGGCCCACGAGATACGAACCTGACTCCACAGTATAGCCTTCATGACTGCATTTAGGTTAGCATGCACTTCGTAAGATGCAACTTACTGAACAGGATTGGGTCACCAAAGGAACCCCAGGTTTATCTTTCCCATCACTATCATTAGGGATTTCATTTAAGAGGAATCTCTCCTGCATGAACACCACTGGAATGAATGGGAATGCTCGGGGGCTCTTACGCAGTGCCCACTCATTTCAGCTGAAACCAGGGCCTACCGATGAGTTGCAAGCAACTGTGTGCTTCCAATTCCCAGCACCGCTTTTTAAAACAAGAAGCAGCTTTGGGAAAGGGGATTTAGAATGAAAAACTGGCAAAAGGAGAACATACTTAACCTGTATCTGGCTAATGATTTCTCTGTTCCAAATAGCATCCCTCAACAGGAATTCAGTTGTGTGTTAATTTTGCAAACATACTGGATTCTCTCATTTCAGCAGAGTCTCATGAACCAAAAGGAGTAATTCTTTGGTCACAAAAACCAGTGAGCGTTTCCACTTGAGTAATTTCTGTAATGGGCTGTAATATAGTCTCTTAACTGATCCAAAAAATGACTTTCCCTCAATTGGCATATGAAAATCAGTGTCTACCCTCTCCCCACAAAATGGATGTATAGCTTAAAGAAGACCTTTTGTGCCATTCTGCAAAGTGAAAGTTAAAGAAAAATAGATCTCTACCCTTCCTTAATGTATCACAAGAAACCCTGGATAAAATTTGAATCTTGGCCTGTTTAATCTGTGCATCTGCCAAAAGGCTTTCTGGAGATGAGATGTTTCAACCAATTACCATATAATTGACCTAAAATGTCTCATCTTTTCCCATCAGATCTTTAATACCTTGATTTCAGTCTGAGGGCACACTGAATCCAAGGGATTACTTCAAAACCAGCAGATATGGAAAATAAATTTAAGTAACAAACATGAAATCAATTACCTTCGTTTAGTTAAACTGCATTATTAATCCTTTTTTTTAAAAAAAGAAACATTTGAGAGTACAAAAATAAAATAATAGAGACAGAACAATCAACTTACATAAAGTACATCGATTGACTGGAAAAAATGGAAAAGAAATAGAAGAAATGGGGTGCTTACCAAGCTCATTCAACAACAGGGCTGTGGAGAACGCACAGAGGGACAAATACAGAAGAAGAAGAAGAAGAAAAGACAATGAGCAATGAAATTAAAGGGAACATCTACAGAGAGGCTCCAGATCCAGAAGGCCAGAAAATGCAGATCTGTAAAGCTGCAGGACATCATTACTACAAAGGAAAAGAGCATGAAAAATAATGGAAGAGAGAAACATTTCATGGGGATGGTCTGTGAAATGGTGGAGGAATATTAAATGCACAGTTATTTAATATATTAGCTGTGACAAACCTTAAAAAAAAAAACAAAATTCGATGCACCCAGTGTTTAGATTCTACTCTTTTGATCCTTATTCGGATCTTAATTCTGTATCAATTTACAGCTCTGCCAGAAGTTTGAGGAAAGAATATGTTCCATTGGATTCCTGTGGGAGTTTGCTTCATTCTTGGCCTTTTAAACAATCATTTTTAAGAAGGTGTTATTCTATCTAAAATTATAGGAGGGGAAAGAGTGTTTACTACATACGCATTTCTCACATCTGTTCACATGTGTGGGCCTTTTGTGCAATCCAAAGCCTCAGAGTGTTTGTTACTGTGTCAGGGAGTCCCTTTGTAAACTGGGAATGTGGCAAAAGGGAAAGGGCAAGCAGGGGGTGGGGGGAAATGAGGAAGTCCCAAAGTGTGAGCTGAAAGACCCCGAGATCATCCCCATGTATATAACATGCATTTCAGCTGGGCTAGAGGATGGACATGGGACAACGGTGCCTTTATGGTAAGGAGGAGTTCACCCTTGGAACCAAAGAATCCTGCAACACCTTGAACACTAATTAATGCACTACACTGCGAGCTTCTTCTTACAATGTGTGAAAAACCAGCTGTGAATGTGGTTATGCTGGTTTTAAAGATCATTTCTCGCTGTCCTTCCTGCAAAATCTTGGCTAGCGTTTCTGTGAAGGGGCTATGGAACTCTAGCCAGGAATTTGTCCTCAGTCCCTTACACACAAAAACCCAAAAATTCATTCCCAGAGCTTTGGGGGAAGGCCACAAGAGTTTCAAGACTTTAAAACAAGCTTTGCATTGGTAGCCAGCATGTGAAATAAAACTATGAGTATTTCGATGCTCCATCTCAGCTTGTGCTCAGTGGTAAGCTGGTAAGAAAAACGGGGAGGAAATAATGTGCTCTTTAAAGCCCTAAACGCCCTCAGTCCTGTATACCTGAAGGAGCATTTCCACCCCCATCGTTCAGCCCGGACACTGAGATCCAGTGCCGAGGGCCTTCTGGCGGTTCCCTCATTGCGAGAAGTGAGGTTACAGGGAACCAGGCAGAGGGCCTTCTCGGTAGTGACGCCTGCCCTGTGGAACGCCTTCCCTTCAGATGTGAAGGAAATAAGCAGCTATCTTATCTTTAAAAGACATCTGAAGGCAGCACTGTTTAGGGAAGTTTTTAATATTTAATGCTGTATTGTTTTTAACACTCAATTGAGAGCCACCCAGAGTGGCTGGGGAAACAGCCAGATGGGTGGGGTATAAATAAATTATTATTATTATTATTATTATTATTATTAATGTTCCTGAAATCATCCTGGAGGAAAAGCAAAATGCGTTTAAAAACAGCCCTTCCAAAACAGGTTGCTTGGTTGTCTAGTAATACAACCAACCCCAAGGGCTTCTGTTCCCAGTTTTACAGTGGTACCCACGTGTGTACAAAGATGTCCAGCTATTCTATGGCTGCAGACAGACCATAGTTTTTAAGGAAGTTGAAAGGGGCTCGAAAGAGTCTTTGTTCCCTGTGGTGTACACTATGCTGGATGAAACTGATGGGACACCAACTTGGCAAAGGCTGGGGAACACAGACATCTCTTTTGTCCCACTGTTGCCTCTAGTCAAATATGCTTTGACGTGTTTCTGAAACAATAAAAAGCCTGCAAAACCTAATTGAGCAGGAGGGAAAGTGAGATGAGCATATAATGCTACAAGCAGTGATTCCTCCTTTTAAATGAGTCTCCTTCTGAGCAAACAATTTTTTGTGACTATTAATTGCTCAATAACACACATCTGGAAGGAAGGGACTGGCTTCCGGCATGGGGTTTGAGGAGGGTTCTGGTTTGCTCTGCATTTTGGACTCTCATGTGGACTGGAAGACTGATCTGAGGACTGAGCCATTTAATCAACAGGTTGAACCATGCATGCATCTGCACTGTATTTGCAAGGTGGTTCATTTTAACCTTTAACACATTTTAAGTGCTCTTAGAGCAGCTCTGTGGCCTCCTAGTGAAGAAAGCCTTTTTAAGATGCTTTCAAGAATTGACTGGGGAATTGTATGGAAAAAACATGGCCACGCCATTTCCATTTATTTATTTATTTATTTATTTATTTTCTTTCTCTTAAAGTGCACCCATAAACAGGACAGGAGTGATCCAGTTTTTGGGGGAAATGAAGGCAGCAAGGAATAGAAATATGGTGATCCATCCATCCTTATTCCAGCATATGAAAAGAGACTTGTGTGTGAACATCTTTCCACTGCCTTCTTACACAAGGGTGGATCTCTCTCTGCATGGAACGTTTATATTAGAAGTAGGTCTGAGTTGGCTTAGGCAGTAGAGCAAGAGACTCTTAATCTCAGTGTCATGGGTTTGAATCCCACTTTGGACCAAAGAGTCCTGCATTGCAGGGGGTTTTGGGGCAGAGGACCCTTCCAACGCTATGATTCCATGATACTTCTAGTGGCTGTAAGCTTTCAAAAAAGAAGGTTGGGCTAGGTGACCCAGTGATTACCTTTCAGTTTTATAATTCTTTCTATCGTTCAAAGCCCCCTGTAAGAAAGGGAGGGGGACGGCGGCATCTCTCTGCCGGTCTAGATGCATCTAATGGAGAATTAGAGAGGAACTCACAGATCTACAGGCAGCTTTTCAGAGTCTCCTCGGGAGACCTACTCCACAGTTTGAGATCTACGGCTGTACTGCTGAATTTTCTGCACCAGTGCTTCTTTTTATACTGGAAATACTGAATTGTTATCATTGCAAGTCCACCTTGTTTGATTTCAGGATGTATACTCAGTTTATGGCTATAGTATGCAGTAGAGCCATATGTTGTAAATTATTTTCCCTTGCAAAAGCAAAACAATTTCACTTAACTCCTGTTTTATTCAAAGTCTGGATGTTGAAGGTGAGCAGGGCAGGAGAGGGTTCCTTGTAAAATACATCTGTGGCTGATTTTGAGGAACTTTTATGTGACTTAGAGATAAGGAGTGTATAAATGAAACAATTTTGTTCTACTTATGATGAAGTGCTGGGTCAGAGGTCATAGCCTTGTCACTTTTCTTAATGATTTTTTGCCTATATGCCTCCAGCTTTACTGGGTTGAAAAGCAAAGGTTCTTTTCCTGCTATACTGGCACCAGGCCAGTATACATAAAAAAACAGTGTCCTGGGTCACTCAAGTGAGATGTGTTTACACTGTGATCCTGTCACAGTTAAATAGATTTCTTTGGATAAGATTAATTAGGGCTGCTTCCTGTGTTAGATATGTGATGTGTGTACTTGCGCAGTACCCTGTAATGTGGACAAGAGCATACATGTGCTTGTATTTCTCAACATGCATGGCTTGCAAGAAACTGTCAATGGCCCTAGCTCCTAGCCATGTGCACACAGAATGAAATTTATCTGCCTTACATGCTACAGAACACACACTGTGTTTGCAGAGTGCATTCACAAAACATTTAATCTGGCTGCTCTGCACATTATCCAATCCATTCAGGGCGATGTTTCCTTGCAGCTATGACAAAAGCCTTATTGAGGTTGTGCTTTCATTTGGAATTTTGTCTTCATCTTTGAGCACTGGAAGCAGAAAACCACAGAACATTGGCCCCCGAGGAACACTTAAGGCGGTGCAGGAGCATTTTTCTGTGGACACCATTCCTATCCTATAATGTGGAAGACAAGTGCATTTCCCCTCTGCAAACAGGAGGGGGAATCATAATGATTGAGAACAGATTCCAGTCTGGGTCAGGAGCAAGTGCAATGTGAAAGAGACCATTTGGATGAAGAATCCTATGTTCCTTTAACCCATAGAAAAGCAACAAATGTAGATGCATCTTAAGAGGGCACTAGCATGTTCTGGGAGAGTGGGATCAATAGCTAAGCTCTTCTCTCACTCTTCTCTATCTGTATTTTTTCTCTGCATTGAAAGCAAAACCAGCTCTAAAGGTAAAGGTAAAAGGACCCCTAACCAATAGGTGGCCGACTCTGGGGTTGCGGCGCTCATCTCGCTTTATTGGCCGAGGGAGACAGCGTACAGTCATGAGGCCAGCATGACTAAGTGGCTTCTGGCGAACCAGAGCAGCGCATGGAAATGCCGTTTACCTTCCTGCCAGAGTGGTACCTGTTTATCTACTTGCACTTTGACGTGCTTTTGAACTGCTAGGTTGGCAGGAGCAGGGACTGAGCAACGGGAGCTCACCCCGTCACGGGGATTCGAACCGCCGACCTTCTGATCGGCAAGTCCTAGGTTCTGTGGTTTAACCCACAGTGCCACCCGTGTCCCAAAAGCCAGCTCTAGGGGGCTGGCAAAAAAGCCTATGGTGGTCCCCAGTGCTTTTTTTTTCTTTCTGAAAAAATGTTTGGGGGGTACTCTCATTTTCCTACTCATATTGAAATACTGCTCCTCAATGAGGCCAAACATAGATTCACAAAATGTTTAGGGGTATGTGCTAAACTGGTGGTCCTTCTCTCACATCAGTGGCCACCGGTGGGCCTGCCTGATGGTGGTGGTGGGCTGCAATGGGAAGCACTTGCATTCTGAGTAGCACAATGGCTCCAGCTCAGATTTTAATTTCCTATAATGCCCGAGAATGCAGATACATTGGGGGCACTGGGGGAAGTTAAAGGGGTGACTAGAGTCTGCCACTCAGCACTGCTATGAGCACTGGACTGAATTGTTTTTTTTTAAGGTGGGCAGAGTAGGCATTGGTGGTGCCCTTCCCTGTGACCCTGGCAGCTGCCCAAGGATACTGGGTACGGAAACAGATTTCAGACCCACCTCTCCCAAGCTATTGTGTGCTTTCCTGCTTTCTGGGGGGTAACTGACAATGCTAAAAGTAACAGCTTATTTCCCATGGGTTTTTGCTTTTATGTGGACGTTATCTCCACAAAGAAGCTTAAAAGCATGACACAGATCTTCATGGCTCTCATCTTCCTTCCTTTCCCCCTTTAATCTGCCAGCGTCAGCACTATCACCCAAGCAGTTATGTCTGTTTTCCTTCAGTTATACTTGGGAAAGCTAAATAAGGATTTCCCTTATGATGGCTCGTAAGAACACTTCTTCAGGGAAATTCTGCTTTAGGTCACCCAGTCACTGCTCACCTTAACCAGCCAGTAATGGACACTGTTATCTGTAAATTGCAAATCATCACTGTTGGAATGGAAAAGGTCTGCAAGCCAACTGCAATATTGAGCTACTATTGCTACATCAAACAGGATGATTCAAGATTGGAGGAAATATAATCCAAGTAGGTTTGGCTAACATCCACAGTAATTGGATAAATTCTCAGGTGCAATGAATCTTGACATAGTTTGAAATTTATCCAGGATTGCACTGTGTGATCCTCATACAATTCATTTACACTGTATGGCATATTCTTGCTCTGTTGCTTTATTGTATTGCCTGGCAATGTTGTTAATATATATGGACATCCTATTTAATATTATTCACTGTTGGCAACGCCACAACATGTGGGAATGTGTTATGATCTAGTAAAATAGGTTCACAATGCCAGGAGGAGCCACACCTTCTCAGGTAAGGCTTCCTCACACTTTAGGTTTATTCTCATGTTCTGCTCTTAATGAGGAAACATGTGAGTTGAAACTCACTACTCTGCCTGTTGCAACCTCTGGAAGAGAAGTTAGGGGTAGTCTGAAAGTCTGTTTTGCAGCAGCAGTAGCTGCTTCTTCTTAATAATTATCCCACTGCATCTTGCCCTTTCTCCAAGGAGTTCAGGGTGGCATAGATGGAGATATCCTGTTTTATGCTCACAACAACCTTCGCAAGGTAGGTTAGGATGAGAGAGGGGGTGTTGGATGGATGTGGATATTCCATAATATCTCTGATCCCACCCCCTGCACCATGATCAGTGCCCTGGGACAGACGGACAGAAGAGAAATGTCTGAGGCATTGTACAGTGGATTCGCTGTGTCTGACTTCAACACAAAGGCTACCACTACATGTGGTGTGTAATATATAGTTTGGGCCTCATTAAGAGGATACTGTGGAAACTGGACCTGTGAGAATGATACTTGGTTATAATATACCTAATGGTTATCATAAACCCTATGTCCTATTATTTGGATTTTATATTATTCAAAGGGCCCGCTATATTATTTATTTTTTACGATGTATTTAAGCGGGACATAATTAGCAGCAGGAATGTCATCATTTTTATTTCTTTTCAAAAAAAGGAAGAGAGAGAGAAACAAAATTAAAACTGCTGAACTTTGACAGAGGCCAAGGGCAAGCTAAGTGGAAGCCAAGTCAGAAAGTTGTGAGAGGAGAGAAACATAATCAGAGGAAGAAGTCCCCAGTTTCTTGTGAGCTGCCTGGGTTTGCTCTCACACCTTTCATTCCTCTTCGGATCCATATTGGTTCCTCAAGCACAAGGAAGAAACTGCACTCTTTCTCATATTCCTCTCGGTCAAGTATTCTAAGGGTAATGTATTTCCTGTGGGGAAACAAGACAAAGGCAAAACAAATGGTTGGCTTTACACACAAGCACACACATGCTTTTAAGTCTGACCAGTCGAGGTAGCGGCAGTCTGCAATGGCAATGGAGGGGAACACACTGCCACACATCCCTCTTCTATGTATGTAAAAGAGCAGAAAACCTCTGTTCCAGAAACTTCCTTGTCTGTTCCGTTTGGTTAAGAACCCCCTCACAAAGTTAGCTTTGCATTGAGGTAGACCCAAGGAGGATTTTATTCTAATCACAACAGTGCCAGTATTTTATCTCAAGCATAAGTCTCTGAATCTCGAGAGGTTAAGACAGTTTATTCAAACAACCTATAAGGTAGATAAAGGTGAGGCACGAGCCCTTTTCAGATGTTCATTCTATGGAGAAGGAATGTGTGTGAACACATTAGACTGTCTGAATCCAGCCCTTGTTCACAAAACCTGCTACTCATCCTTTTTGCCCCACACAGGTGTTCATTCTCCAGAGAATGAATGCCTGAAAGGAATTATAACACCATTTCCTCACAGCCACCAATTTAGCTTCATGGAAGAACACAGATTTGTCACATAGTACAGTGCCCTGACCTCAGTCAAGAGGAAAAAGGTTTTCGCTTGCCATACCAGTATTGAACATAGGTTAAATACTGGTTGTTCTGCTGAACTAAATAGAATTTAAATTAACCAGATGCTACTCTTTCCAAGATTGTGCCTGAATTTTACAGCAAATGGAAAACTTGAGCCCAGGACATTCTAGCAACAGCCTCTGTGGCCAGTGACTCGGCTCTCTGCCCCTTTACATAGATAATGGAATGTGTGTTTTTGAGACTCCATGAATGGGAATGTGCCAGGCATCCATGAGTGATCAAGTCAGGTGCATACAGGTAGGGCTCAGCCCCACACAGCCGGTCCTTTCACCTTTCTTTTCACTCATCTC